CTCCCGAAGGCTGCGAAGACTATCCGAAGCTGGTAATGAATGCATTCATATCGAAGAAGCAACAGCTTAGGGAGGACCTACACCATTCACGGAGTAGGATCTCTATCTCCTTTGATCTCTGGACTTCACCAAACCCTTACGCTATCCTAGGCGTCGTCGCTATGTGGATTGATACTACCGGCATGCGACGTGTTACCGCTTTAGGTATGCGACGTATATACGGCGAACATACTGGAGAGAATCTTGGATCGGTGGTCCTTGAATTGCTGGAAGAATACGACATTAGCGGAGATCAGATTGGATACTTTATGCTGGATAATGCCTCGGCAAATGATACCGCTGTTGAGTTTATACTCAAGGATCTCTGCCCATGGATGAAGTCAAAACAACGTCGTCATCGCCGGCTGCGTTGCTTGGGCCATGTCATCAACCTCTGTTGCCAGGCGTTCCTTATGGGGCGAAACTGTGAGAAGTATCTTGCGAAGCTGGAGAAGCATCATCAACGTGGCGACTATACGAAGGTGGAAGAGCTCTGGAAGAAGTTCGGATGTTTGGGTCGTCTTCACAACCTGGTGCGATACATCAGGCTTACTCCACAACGGCGTGAGGAGTTTGCTACAATTATTATCGGCGGAGATCTTTCGCAATTCGACGGGCTTGAGCTTATCCAGAACAACTCGACCCGCTGGAACTCATGGTTTTATTCGATTACACGTGCATTAAATGTTCGAGAACGTTTAGAGCTCTTCTCGGCTCGTCATGTACCTGGAAAGGGCTCCGTAGGGATCGCGAACTTTAAGCTTGATGGACAGCACTGGTTTGAGCTTGAAAAGATTGAACTCGCTCTCAAAGACTTCTATGCTGCAACTTTGCTTTCTGAAGGTAAGAAGACGTCACTTGCGGACTGGTTTTCAACTTTGGACTGCCTTCTCCGGGAGATAAGCGAGACGAAGGATCACTACCACGACATCCACACTGAGGACGATAACAACTTTACATGGAAGTACCTTCAAGGCTGCGCTGATGCTGCTTGGTTAAAGTGCGTTGAGTACTATAACAATCAGCAGCTGAATTGGCAAAATCGATTCCCTGAAGATACTGACCTTCCACCGGCATATTATGCGGCTCAAATCCTTGATCCATATCGCAAGTGGGGATGGTTCAGGCAAGAGTGGGTTCTTCATGGCGACGAAGAGAAGAAGAGGTGGTTTGAAAACGCACAATTAGCGGTGAAGCATCTCTGGGAGACAGAGTATAAGGGAAGGTACCCTGTCGAGATGCTGCCACCACCAGCCAGGAAGGAGAGAGATCCTGACCCAGCATTTGATCGCCAGCGGGAACATAAGCGCATTCGAATAGACGCTCCAGTTTCTACAACTGATTTGTATGAACAATACATCTCTACTGACCGGCTTCATAACGAAGAGGCAGGTTGCAATGAGGCTATTGCGTACTGGCTATCTCGCTACGACTCCCAACGAGATCTCGCTCGCTTCGCTCTAGACATGTTTGCGATCTCGCCTATGTCGGATGAATGCGAACGTCTTTTTAGTAGCGCGAAGCTTACTATCGTCGATCGCCGTGGTAGGCTGAAGGCAGATATTATAGAAGCGTGCGAGTGTCTCCGGGCCTGGTATGGAAAGCCCCAAGCTGAGGGGAACAGCGATATCGAGGATAGTGAGAACGAAGACGACTAGATTGACAGTCAGTAGTAAAACACATTTCCTCGGCTTCCTTCTTTGCTTCAGCCTCATTCTTGGCGGTCTTGTTGGTCGGACCGGTCTGGTCGGACCGGTCCTTATGTAAGCACCTGGTCTGGTCTGGTCTGTACCCTCAGACCAGACCAGACCAGACCATTCCGATCACTGATCAAGACCCAGATCTGTCCGAGCTCGTTCCAGAGAACCGGCGACACTAGAGCCAGGAGACTAGCGCCCAGGAAGTTCCAGAACACGGCGAGGCTCATGCCAAGCTCTCGGTTCACGAGAGGAAATACCTCTGCCGATACAACGAAAGCTGCAGGGCCCTCACCTATTGAGTAAGCCACTATGAAAAGTATGAGAAAGGTATAGTGCCCAGCGATGGCGCCCGTGCTAGGTTCTTTATCAGACCCCAAGAGGACGAGAGCCGAGCCAAGCAGAGAGATTGCCATGCATGGGAAAGACCAGTTGAGAAGCGTTCTCCTGCCGCTGCCTCTATCGATGAAGAATAGAGCGCCAAACGTGGCAAAGAAGTTAACACCCATCAAGGCGACTGATGAACCCAGTAGTTTCAGGTTCTGTTCTACCAGTAGTCTCCGATTATCATCTGTTTGTGCTTCTTCTCTTTGATGAAAAATGGAATACCGAAAGAATGTATCAGCCATAAATGCTAGCAGGTTGATACCACACAACTGTTGTGAGATCATGACTGCAGCAGCGGCCAGATGTGCGCGTCTTGTTGAACCACGCTTGAAGAACATTAACTGAACCCGAGGCCACCAATCAATATGCTCGATTAGATCAATGTGAGGCTGATCCGCGCCGTTGGGCAGACTTTTAGGTGGAGGAATTCTCGGTAGGTCCTTCCTAAGGCGGCGTTGTTCCTCGATCAAGCGCGTATACAACAAGTATAGCTCCCCAGCCACCAGTATAGGGACCGGCTCGCCCCGTAGGTCAAAAAGTGCGAGATAGGCCTTCCCTACGAGGCTGCGTCTGTGGAGAGCGGGGTCGTCATGACCGTTGATGGCCCCACTTTCTTTCAAAAGCCATCGTGGAGATTCTGCGTGCGCAGGTCAGTTCTGCACAAATCGCATATAGTAGACTCGTGGAAAATATTTACCAGGTGAGAACAAAATCAATGAGAGTAAGAGCAGTGCAGGTATAAAAGCCGCAATAAACATGTACCGCCAGCTCGCATGATGATCGAGCTGAGGACTGAGCTTATAGACACTCAAGTTGGCGATAGAGCCGGCGCACAGCCCAAAAGCAACGAACAATTGCCAAAACACGAGGAGGACACCACGGATGTTCTTCGGTGACGTTTCTGAAAGCAATATTGGCACTATCGATGCCTTACCTGCCATGCCTGCGCCCAGCAGGATCCTGAACCCTAACAGATGCTCCCATTTATGAACCGATGCAGATCCCACGACCGATATAAGGCTGAAAATGCCCGCGAGACAAATTGCACCGCGGCGACCGAAGCGTGTTATCCTTGCGACAGGATCGGTGATGATTAGACCCAGGATAGCCCCACCGAAGAAGGGGACTCCGACTGTGACTCCGAGAAGCCACGTATTGGTTGTGAGTGGGATTGTGGATCCGTCTTTGCTAACGTCGAGATGTTTTCCGAGATCATCCATGACGTTGATAGCAGCACCTCAGTCAAAATTAGTCTCGTAATTCTCAATTCCAAGTGATGAACCTACCTGCCATAGCAGCCTGGTCCCAACCCCTATCATATGATTAGTCTCTTTCAATACTGAAAGGACGCCTTGGACTTACTGCGTCATTGCAGCGTAGATACAGGCTACTACCAAGAGCCGATGGAGTCTTGAGAGGTTTCTCAGTGTTTCTGTCTTGCTCCTTGTCCAAGCATTGTACAGCACATCAATTTCAAGTCTTGTGTATCTGTGTTTGCCTATGCGCAATTTTGTGCCGACACGGGCTTCCGGCGAAGACCTTACAATTTTTCTTAATCGAGGTTCGATGGAGGCTTGATGGCGGAGGGCAAGGACTCCCCGAACGAACTGATCTTGTTCGATGGGCAATTCATACTCATTGTGGAAGCGAATAGCATCTTGCTCTGTGACGCCATCAAGTGGGTAACTCGAGCCGACGCTGCTTAGTTAGCAGGTAGTACATGGGAACTTAGAGAAAGGATGTATTACTCAGCATCGTTCATGATGCGGATCGATTCAGGCTGTCCGCCTATAGGCACATCCATCTTCACCAAAAGTCACTAATAGTTTCGTAAGTTGTGGGGAGAGCCTTTACGGATTTATGGATAATTGCGGAGCGAGACAGGAAGCTTTCAGAGAGGGCGAGAGACTGAGGCAAGCGGCGGAATAATAACCTGGAAGCCTGAGTCACCATATGACTAGCGTCTGCAAACAGAGCCCCATAGCTGTAATACCATCTCATTTGAGCCACAAAAGACACGAACTACAGAGCCTTGCGACATAACTCCAGTCATACCTACTTGGCAGCCGTGAGACCTGACTCAAGTCATGATTGTCTTCCAGCGCCAACACAGCGCGCGGCCAGAAAAAAACGTGTATGGTCGCCAGCTTTTCTCCTTCTCGAGTTGTCCCTTGCGCCCAAAAATCAGGAGTCTGTGATGAGAGATCGCAACCTCAGCCTTGTTACCGCATGACGCGTTGAACGCTTGTTTGCCAAGATGGCAAATCAATGTTTCGGGCTATATAGCTGCACTCACTGTTCACCGGTAGAGACGGCTAGCTATTGCACGAACCAGATCGTTGCGAAGGATGAGGTTGTCAGCAATGGCTTGCATGGTGGCGTTATTGGATCGATACAGCGGTTAAAAACACAGCAAATCAGATTTACCTATACAGGAACAATGCGTCTGAGCCTCCATAAGCACCTAATCTGCCTTCTGAACCCTGTAAAGCTGAATTTGTTCCCGTCGCGAGGAGCGTCTCGACTTGGCGTTGTAGTAAGTATCAACGACATTTGTGTTGACCTGACTGGGGACAGCAAGGCTCCTACTTACTCGGCCCAGACTAGCTTGTCAGAAAACCTGTTGCTGCGCGTTCTCTTTCAATTCGGCAAGCTCTCTTTGCTCCTGTCTACCACCTCAGACAAGAGAAGAGCTCAAATGTTTCGCTTTCTCGGCCCATTGATTCCTTGGAACGAAGATCATTGGGCGTTTAGCAGGAGATTAGCGTATATGGCGTGGAATATCTATCAACATTCGCCTTGTCAACTTGCAAGATAGACTTCATGTGGCAACGCTAACGTCTGTTCTTTTGTCAAGAGCCCTTTCACATAGAAGTCGTAGACGAACCATCGTTTCAACGGCTTATCTGAATCGAAGTCGCCGGGGACATGGGGATGATGATATCCTGGTAAACTCGGCTCATCTCGCATTTTTCTTTTGGGCTGATACTGACAAAAGTCGTCGCCTAGGGTGTGAAGACGCTTCTGATTATGTAACGGTTTGGGTCCTGCCAAAACATATTCTGGTACAAGTTGGGTACTACTCTCGCTACCACACTTCGTACATCCCACAATCATATATATAGGTGCCCACATTCGTAGCTACACCAACAATGCAACCCCACTCTTCCTCAATCCTACCGTTACAGTTATGAGCCCGGCTTGCCGTTAATTGACTGCATTCACATCCCGCTTTAGTTAAGACTTACTGTTATAATCGGTCTAACAGTAGACGTCTATCTTAACGACAGCAGTTATTATTAGCTATTACTATAGCTACAATGAATAGTGATCTTCTAATTACGAAGACGACGGTGATTCTCGATCAACCGTCAGATTGGCAGAAGTGGATCTTCCTGCGCAAAGATAGCGCGCAGCGGAACGATCTATAGGCGTACGTTAATCCTAAAGTTACGACAGAAATAGTACTTAAGCTCAAAGATGAGAAGCCCGCAAAGAAGGAAGCAGGTGCTTTCTACGGACGGGAGCGACAGGTCGGCATAGTTTACGACCTCGAGCATCTCGATGAGCACGAATACCGGAAGTACTCAGCTTAGTACACTAGTTACTAGAAGGAACTAACAAAGTTCGAAAAGAAAGAACTTGCTTTAAGGCAGTTTAACAGCGAGATCGCGACAACGATCTTAAAGCGTTGGCTATATTAGATTATGAATCTAGATACGCCGCACGCACGATTGAGGAAACTAAAGAACTAGCTCTGTCTATCGACAGCAGAGCGAGAGACTCAGCTACTCTCGTAATATATAGCGCTTCGCAAGATGCCAAAGCGCGCTAATATCGAATCCTGGCTCGACAGCTAGGAGGAGCTCCTTGAGCTCATAGCCGCGGCTAAGATAGCAGAAGTAAAGGGTACAAGGGCACAGCGGGACTTTCTCGACTTAGTACAATCGACTAATAATTCATAGGCTACATCACAAAGGATTAGTATGATCACAAAGCAAGAGGAAGGAGAGTCCTTCTTACTAGCAGTTAATCTTGTGGGGCGATTTCGACTGTACTATTGTTAAATAAAACTAGTAGCTTTAACGCTAGGAACCTTTGCGGCGTTAGGCGACCCACAGGAAGTATCCTAACAATCTCAGATATCCTAGGATACTAATAAGTTTCGAAAGATTAACTGCCTATGTAGAGAGAAGCATCGCTTTATTAATTGTCCGTACGTCAACTCAGCAAAGCGTAGCTCTAGATAGAAGGCGGATTTAGATATAAAGAAGAAATTCGATACCATCCGAAGCAGAGGCGAAGGCAGCAGAATCTCAGCCGTTTTGAGATTAGTAGAAGCAAGGTTAGCAGAATAAGCCTCAGTCAGCTGCCTTTAACGATAGAAGCACGAAGAGTGGTCAGAGCTCAAATGCATATCTCTAAGTAGAGGCTACTTAGCAGCCTTTATCGCTACTAACGCGATAGATACTCGACCTAGGATCGAACCTACACGTGTCTAATTATCGAAATTCGACTTGGCGCAAGCTTGCAGATGCCAACGCCCATAATAAGATCTTGGCTGGAGGTCAGCGTATTCCGATTAAGGAATAGGGTGAGGTTGAGATCATAATTAACACGCCGCACGGAACATCTCCAATTAAGCTTACTTAGGTAGCGTATATCCCGAGCTTCTTTACCTCTCTTGTCGCTCTCTCACGATGCCGTACGATGGGAATTAAGTTCGACTTAGGTCGAGACTGCCTATACCAGAAGTCGCCAAAGAACGTCGTGTGTAAGCTTAGTCCCGAAGGAGGGCATTGGCTGATAGATTTGGACGAAAATGAGAGACCGCATGTAGAAGACCTGCGGTCTACGACTGTGGCAGAGTCTACTAGTGTAGCAAAGTCTGTTAATGCAGCAGAAAAGAGAAGGATTTAAGCGGTGAAACTATTATACGCTGATCGACGACCGCTTAAGCTAACGGCGGAGGAAGCCTATAAGATTTGGGGCCACCCGAGCGCTAAGGTTATCTTAAAGCTCGAGCAGGGTGTCGATAGTGTAAAGATTAAAGAAGGCACAATAGCGCTAACTTAGGAGACCTGTACGACATATATTAAAGCAAAGCTTTATAAGTTTAAGAGCAGAAGGCCTCCGCGAGAACTAGCCACCCGACTATTCGAAAGATTAGCTATCGATCTTGTACAGCTGCGTAAGACAGGCGAGCGCTGCTATAACGGTGACGTTTGGCTATTACATGCGGTGTGCCAGAATTGCAAGCTCCACCTAGCCGCATGCCTACTAAACAAGTTAGCACTAATGCTCTTAACGACAATTAAACGCTTGCTAGCACAAATTGAGACTCAATATAGTGTCAAGGTCCGCGCAATAAAGATCGACAGCGAGCGAGGATACAGCTTGCTACACCAGCTCTTTCTTAACCGAGGTATTAAGATTAAAACAAGAGCTCCGTACACGGAGGAGCAGAACAGCCTTATTAAGCGCGCTAGCTCGACAATAATCGCCCGAGCTCGCGCAATCCGAATTGGATCCGGTCTGCCCAAGGAGCTGGCCAACGAGTGCGCCATAACCGTAGTATATCTGCTTAATCGAATACTAGTCGAGTCTCTTAGCTAGAAGACGCCTTACGAAGTCGCAGGTGGACACAAGCCTTTGATGGCTTACCTAAGCAAGATAGGCGCACAGGCGTACTACCTTAACAACAAGCTAAAGCGTAGTGACAAGATAGAGTCTTGAGCGCTCATTAGTTATTTAGTTGGATACGATTCCACCAACATTTTTAGGATATAGCTCCTAGAGTCACACACTGTTATCCGCACCCGAGACGTCGTGTTTCGTTCGAATACGAGATACGACGGCAGCACAGTCTACGCAGATTTGAGGGTGGCACGTACAGTAAAGACAGTACTTAATATTGCCGACTACGAAGGCGAGGTAGAGGAACTAGAGATTAGCGAGCTTCTAGAGCTCGCTGCTCCGCTTAATTCGCAGGGCACTAAGATGCTAGAAGAGGATAAAGCACATAATCAGTTAATAGAAGAGCTATTACAGCAGTTAGCAAAAGGGGAACAGAGCAAACTAGTAAGATCGATTAACCTAGGAGGATCACTAGTCTCGCCTAATACAATAGGAAGGAGAAGTAGGGACGCGAGTATTGAAGAAGAGATCAGCTTGCCAAAGGGCTACGAGCTAGTGCAAGGGGATTAAGAGGCGCCGAATTGTCGCGAGAACAATGCGCCAAAGCGAACAGATCCTGCAATCACTTTAGATAACATTGTTGCCAGTAAACGTACTAGAGGCAGCGCTTATGCGGCGTATCTCTCCACTTTCGCAGTAACGTATCTGTCGACCTTTGCCTCAGCAATTAATCCAGTTAAAGTACGAGAGCTTCACGAGCCTAAGAAGGTTCGCCTCTATCGAGATTACCTGCCACCTCCACTAAAGCGTTAGTTAAATCTCGAAAGCTATCCGTTTGGCAACCGCTTCAAGCTTGCAGCACAAGCTGAAATAGACGATATAATGAGAAAGGGCTGTTTCAAGCTAGAAGCTCACGAAGAAGGCGTCGCCGAGGGTGAGATACTGCCGCTAATGTGGGTGTTTACCTACAAATTCGATGAAGACGGCTACCTCACGAAGTTCAAGGCGCGCCTAGTCGTAAGAGGAGACTTACAACAGATATACAAGGACACGTATGCGGCTACGCTAGCAGCTCAGATCTTCCGATTCCTTATTACTCTAATGGCTGCCTTTGGCCTAAAAGCCTTCTAGTATAATGTGCTAAATGCGTTTCTAAACGCAAAAGTTGACCGTAAGATCTACGTACAGTCACTAGAGGGCTACATTAATCAGTTTGGTCCGCTACTACGGTTGTGGCGAGCCTTGTATAGTCTAAAAGAGGCGCCGCTGTTATAGTACAACGATCTCTGCACTTCACTGCAGAAGATAGGACTTAAGCTAGTGCTAGGCATCCTATGTTTATTTACAAACGAAAAGCTTATTGTCTTCTTCTACGTTGACGATATTGTGGTTCTAGTTCGACTAGAAGATCTCGCAGCTCATGAAGAGTTTGAGCGTGCACTTAAGGATCGATACGAGATACGTTGCTTAGGTAAGCTTAGCTGGTTCCTAGGCATCCGCGTCGTACACGATGAAGAGCAAGGGAAAGTTTGGCTATTACAGGACTCTTTTATCGACAAGGTCGCTGCCAACTTCAAACTGCAGAAGAAATCTAGACGATACCTAGCAACTCCGCTGAATGAGGGGCTAGGCCTAAGTAATGAAGAACCGAACGCCGAGCGTACGAAGGAGTTTCAGAGTCTTACTGGCTCACTAGCATTTATCTCATGTATCACCAGACCAGACGTTGCGAAAGCGCACTCAGTGCTAGCACAGCATCTTCAGAATCCAAGCCAGAAGCACCTCGCTGCCGCAAAGCACGTTTGGGAGTACCTGATTGGTACTCAGTACTACGCTATCTGCGCTACAGCACTTCGAACCGAGATTGCGTCGTATATCACAGAGGGTAAAGCAAATAAGGCAGGAGTAGAACCGTTGTTCTTTGGTGCCTCTAATGCTGCCTTTGCTAACAATCTCGAGACGCGTAGAAGCTCGCATAGCTTTATATTTAAGCTATACGGGATGCTAATTAACTAGAAGGCTACAGTGCAACGCTTAGTCACAAAGTTAACTACCGAAGCAGAGCTGATAGCTCTATCTATTGTAGGGGCTGAGATAGAATGGTGGCAACGCGCATTTAAGAACGTTAAGTTTAAGCTCGAGTTTACGCCACAGCTCTTGTGTGATAACACAGCCACGGTTAGTATCGTTACTAAGAGAGAAGATCGGCTTCAGACAAAGCTTCGTCATGTGGATACTCATCAGATGTGGCTCCGCCAGGAAGTCGAGCAGAAGCGAATACAGGTCAATTGGGTGCCTACAGATTAGATGCCCGCAGACGGTTTGACCAAGGTACTACCTCGTCAAAAGCATGAGAGTTTTGTCAAGCAATTAGGACTTGAAGATATCCGGAGTATCATTACTCTAAAAGAAAAAGAGGAAGCAGAGAAGGGAGTTCAGCTTTCAGCGTGGAACTAGAGTATTTTTTTTATTTCCGTCATTTTCACATCTCTATTCATGGTCAGCTACTTGCTGAGAGCCGTATCTGAGAGGGTGTGTAACGGTTTGGGTCCTGCCAAGACATATTCTGGTACAAGTTGGGTACTACTCTCGCTACCACACTTCGTACATCCCACAATCATATATATAGGTGCCCACCTTCGTAGCTACACCAACAATGCAACCCCACTCTTCCTCAATCCTACCGTTACAGATTAGAACCAGGAATGTAATGTCGGTTATGCAGACTCAAAGTAACACGCGATGTGCATCGTCGAGACTACTCCTACGAGGCATCGTCCTCGTGAAATGATGGATGTTTATATGGTCGGTGCAGACAGTTTTTTGCTTTGCGTGAGCGGCGGTAATGCCTTCTTTAGTACTAGGCAACATCGGCGGACTTGAGGATGAGGTTACGGCGTGATTCTAGACTGATTATAGCATGCTATGAACAGCGCAACGAACGCGTTTAGGACACAGGCTGGCGTTAGATAGGAAAGTAGCTGAAAGATGTTCTACAGCGGTGGCAATCGCTTTGTCTTGGCCGCCCGGGTGCTTTATTACACTTCTACCTGCACCTAGGTGTAAATACTGGCCAGTGTGGGTAAGCGTTCAATGGACGTGTCCGGCGACTACAGTGGCTTTTTTCACACTGGTATGTCTAGTGTTTTATGACACCCAGGTGCCTGGGTGACATGAAATACGTGACACCCTAGCACACAGAAGTTACCGTAGCTGCTAGATATATCTATTGGGCATAGTATACTAGTGTTTGTCTATACTGCCGCTGTTAATTATTTGTACCTAGGTGCTTCTACAGCACGAGGTATTCTGTAGCATATTCTCAAAAACACAGTGTAGAACATGAGAACATACAAGTTATAATGGTCATCAATGCACTCACTCATACTATAGACTTTTTAACATCGTAGAACCGGAAAGAATGAAGGAAACAACACCGTAGACATGCAAATGCTTCCACCGCCCTCCCCCTCGTACCGTTCCACCCACTTACTCCTCATCAGCCTTCTTCTCTCTCCACTGCTCCTCAAGCGTCTTGACCCTCTCAACACCCTTCTTGTTACCCACACCGTTCTCCCACTCAGCCCATTTCTTGAAAACACTGCGAACCCTCGATGACTTGCCCACTTTGGTCATCCTCTCAAACAAATCCCGTACCTTGTCCTCATCGCCGTGGCTCTGCTCCAGCATCAGATACATGTCCCAGACGTCACCTTTCTTGGCGAATGTGTCGATCAAGCCTTCGAAGATGGTGCGGCCACGCTCCGCGTCGCCATTGGGAGACTTGAACTCTAATGCGGCGAATTTTTGGGTGAGGTAGCGGTGTTGATTTGATGCAACAGATTGTGTGGCGCGTTGGAGGAGAGCGCGGGCTCGAGATGCGGAGGGAGGTTGCAGGACGTCCATGAGGAAGGCTGCGTAAGAAAGCCAGAACTTAGGGTCTTGTGTGAAGGACTTGTTCTTCATCATGGATTGGTAGAGGCTATCCGCTTTCTGAATAGCTGTTAGCTTCCTTGTTATACTCATGTGTCAATAGAACTTACGTCGAGCTTTCCCGATGAGATGTAAATTTTGATCGTTCGCTCATGCATCTCGCGCGAATCGTTGTTCTGGCATGCTTCCTTCAAGACCGCTTCGATAGTGTCGTCACTAGCGAAGTCGTTTTCCAGATGCAGCAATGCGGTCCAAACATCAAGCTTCTCCTTTTCTTCTCTCGGGTTGATAGTTGCCAGTGCGCGACGAGCAATTTGGCGCGCCTTCTCGACCTCGTTGAGTTCGCGTTGGAACACCATGTACCGCACCCACATTTCGGCGCTGTTTGGCTGGCCAAGTAGCAAGCGCTCGTAGTCGGCGACTGACTGAGGGCCATAGGCATCGAGATCGCCAGTGCGGTCCTCTTTTATAGACGCCTTCTTGCTCTTCTTCTTCTTTTTCGGGGTATCATTTTCAGAGTCTGAATCGGCCGCGTGCTTCTGTTGGTCAGCGTCGAGAGTTGCACCTGTCCAGTCAAAGCCAGATGTGCTGAGGCCTTGCGCAGGCGTCTGTATGTCCTCATCGTCAGAATCATCTTCAGCTTCGTCTGCATCTGCAAGCTCAACATCGTTGTCACTCTCAGCACTCTTGACGCTCCTCATGTCGACATCTTCGTCAAGCTCGATACCGCCGTCGGAATCAGACTCTTCAGCAAGCTCGTCTTCCGAAGCATCCTCCATGTCTTCGTCTTCTCCATCGCCCTTAATTTGCGAGTACTTCAGAGTGAAACTAATCTTCCTCTGCTTCGGCTCGATCTTCACAATCTTGGCTTTGACAACGTCGTCCTTCTTGTACATATCCTTAATCTTATCCTTGTCAACAGCATTGTCTGCCAGTTGCGAAATATGGCAAAGTCCGCTGACGTTGCTGGAGTTGTCGACAACAAGGAAAACACCAAAATCCTCGACATGGCGCACCTTCGCAGTAACAATCTGGCCAACCTTCAGATCGCTGAACTCCAACGGCTCGGTATAGTTGCCTTGAATCACGGAAGTCTTCAAACTCATCTGAGGGTTGCGTTGATCTTCCTTATTCGAGATGATCTTGCCAGTGACGAGCTGATCTACATGGAAAGCGGACTTCCAGTCTTTGATGTACTCATCCGAGAGATGGCTGACCCGGACATAGGCTTCAACATGGGGACCGAGACGCACATATACACCATTACTGGCAACATGCTTGATGAAGCCACGAACGACCTGATGTACCTTGAGCTGGCTCTTGTCCTTGATTTCGGGATCTCTAACTGTTAGAGACGAGCTCAGAACTCTGGAAGGTCTAGCTGACAGTCCTAATTTCTTGTTAGGAATGTCGATATCAATGACACATACGCGCAAGACGTCGCCAACTTTGAACTTGTTTGGTTTCGCCATGTCGTAATCGTCGGCCAATTGCTCAAGGAAGATGGGCGCTGCAAGCTTCTCGTTGATCTGCACGACTATCGATGCTTCGTGTATCTTGGTAACACGTGCAGGCAGTATGTAGCCCACCTTGATATCTTGGAGGCTCATCGTCTTGCCAGTCACGGTAGAAACAGCTGTCAGGTCAAGCTTTCCAGCTGCGATGTCAACCGCCTTTACACGGACTCTGGAGGGCGAACCCACGGGAAGTTCTCTTCTACATTGCGGAGCTTCTCGAGAATCTTCGTGAGATCGAAGAAGTCATACGTCCGCGAACATTGGCCGAGATGTTTACCCAGACGTAACGGTCGGCGATATTGTTCACAAACGCGGTGTGGGACGATCCGGGTGTTATCTTGTCCAGGCTCAACACGTCCGCTTCCCTCTTGATCTTATCAGTGTTTGCGGTCATCTCGTATACTGGTGTTTTGTGGTTCGACCGGGATGTGATTGGAAGGAAGCGGAAGTTGCGCGCGTCATGTCTACCCAGGACCCTAGCTTGAACCTTCTCATTCATCTTGAAGTGTGCCGTGGGGTTCTTCTTGTCTGGAATGCTATCCCACCCATCAAACAGCTCCGATACAGAAATTCGTCCTTGCACGTTGTCGGCAAGCTCAACATTGAGTTGCGTGCTCTTGACCGTCTTGATACGAACAGTGGTCAGGGTACCAAACTTGATGTCATCGGTCGTTAGGATCTTGCTGTCCACAGGATCCACTAGCGTTTCTCCTGCCTTCATAGGGGGGTCGACGGTGTTTGCTGAATCTAACTCTGATTCGGCTTTCATCGATAACCAGAAGAAACCCTTTCCGACATCCACGTGTGTCACTCGGGCGCTTATAGATTGGTCTTTGCGGAGGCCGAAGTTGGGTTCAGAGATCATCTCTTCTGGTAATTGCGACTTGAAAAGTACACCACTAATGCCATTTCCAAGCTCAACAAATATCTTGTCGGGCAGAATGCCGCGTACAAAGCCATGTACTGTCTCTCCAGCTTGCAGATCTTCGATGCTAATTGCGAGCTTCGATGCCTGGGCATCCTTGCGAAGACTGGGCTTGTTGGAGACGGTTGCCGAACGGGTTTTGCCATGCTTTGTCAAAACTACAAGCTCTTCCAAGGTTCCACCTATGCGGATCTTCTTCATGGTGGAGATGTCTTTCTTCGCCGATCCGTCTGTGAGATGGCCGATGCGAAGGATGCCTTTGACTCCGTTTCCGATATCCAGGGTGGCGCTATCGTCAGACTTTTCGAGTACAGTGCCCTTCACAATGTCGCTGGGGTTGAGCGCATTGAAAGCAGCTTCCCTGTTGTTGTCGACGGCAGCAGGATCCTTGCAAGACACCAGAAGTTGGCGTTCCTTCGCATCGACGGATATGATGCGCACTTTCACAACCTGACCGTTTGTGAAGTGGCGTGTAGCGTCGTTAATGAAGGCCTCGCTCATTTCCGCCGCTGGAAGCCATGCCTTGACATCGCCATAGAAACGTACCGTGGCACCGTTACGACGTACGCTGGTCAAGATACCAGGACCGGTCAATCCTTCGGAAAGCATCTCGTAGTTGGTCCAGGGCTTGGTATCTGAGTTGACCAATGACTTCTTCAGGGTGAGTTGTATCTGATGTCTAGCGGGCTCAGTGTAGAGTACGCGGGCGGTAACAGGCACGCCTTCCCTGAATTTGCGTTCTGGATGTTGTAGACGCACATCTGCCAGATGCGCTTCCGGAACCAGACCAGTGATGCCGTCAGCAAGGTGAACAAGGACGGCAGCGGCTCCAGTTTTATCGGCAATGAGTTTGTGCACCTTGCCTTTGACGACCTGGCCAGCTTGGATGTCCTCAATACGAAGGAATGGCTGATCAAGTACCTTTTGCTCCAGGGAAAGCTGGAAGATCCCGTCCAGGGCATTATATCCGATGATACGTGCCTTGTGTGTCGAGTCAAGCTTGAACTGGCCGGATTCCTCTGATATCACATCGACCTTATCGTCAGAGAGTCGCGAGATATGCGCAAAACCAACAACGTCCTTGATACCGAGATCGAAGAAAGCACCCTGGGCTGGGGCCACTTTGACGACCTTGGCGCTCTCAACAATGGTGGATATCGGGAGTAGGTCGATCGGAGGTTTGCGCTCCTTCGGCTTACCAGACATGCGTGTGGAAAGCGACACAACATGGTCTAGTAGGGATACGCCGACCTTTCTGGGCTCCGAGTTTGGGCATGTGAACAAGATACGTGCTTTGACTTTGGAGCCGATCTTGTATTTTTGTGAGACGTCGGCGGCCTTCTCAGTTGCACCAGAATGGTAGGCATCAGCGGTCGCATCTATGAGGCCGAGAATCTTGCCTACGAGAGTGCTAGATGTGGTATCTGCTACGAGAATGTCAACTGCAGTTCCCGGCAGGAAAACATCGATGGTTGGCGCTTCCGTCAATGTGTTGCCTTTGGTGATGTTGCCCGCCTTGGTGTGGTCGGCGGAGAGCTTGACGATGCGTCCGTCGGAGTTGATTCCCGTGACCAAGCACATGAAGACGGCGCCCTCTTGAACCTTGGCATGCTGTATCTTAGGTCCCAGCTCTCCCTTGGGCAAGAAGCCCTTGAGATTGGCGTCTCCCAAGCCCAAGTCCATGACTAGACCGTGGTCTTCGTTGCTCACTACCGAAGCCTGGACCATGCTGTTTACAGGTATTTTCCGTTTGGTAAGGCCCTTGTTGACTAGCTTAGGGTCGATAGACAGCTCCAATCGCTTCCTTGCTCTCGCGTTATCCTCGTTTGTCGCTGTGATGCATGCTCTGATGTACTGCCCTACCGAGAACATGTCCTTCAGGTCCACATCCTCGAAGTCACCATCTTCGCTTCCTTCTTTCTTCTCTGCACCCTCGTCCTTGAGGAGCTTTTCTAGCCTCTCGTTGAGCTTGTCGGACACGGCGGTAAGTGGGACATAGCCGACCAGGTTGTTCGGAAGCGCAAGTACGAGATCTTGATGGGAGATGTCAATGATCTGGCCAAGTACAATTGTACCAGCTGACAATTTCTGCTATTGTTAGTATTCAGGCCATATTGTGTAGAATCTAGCTCACCTTGTAGCTCAGGCCCTTTGCCCTCACAACGTCGTCCTTCTCCCCGCTCTCGTGCGACTTCTTGCTCTTCTTAGGGAACTTCTTTTTCGACTTGGCCGCAGCCTTCTCATCGTCCTCGGAGCCCATGTCGCTGAATCCATCGTCGCCGCCGCCGCCGGGGCGCTTGATTCCCGCCTGCTCGAACAAGACATCCTGGTTTGCCTTGATGGAGATCTGCTTGTGCTCTAGGGGTGTCAAGACGCTGGCGCCTCCTCTGGGAAACGACTTTTCCTCGTCCTTGAAAACACTGGGCTTGGGCGCAGCGCTCTCAGCCTTTGGCTTTGCTGGTGAAGTCTGCTCGACATCGGACTTGCGTCGCTTCGCTGATCGGTCGGTCAATGCGCTTTTCGCCTTTTTCGATGGCGTGGCGCCTTGCTCTGCTTTTCGTTTGATTGCGCCCATGTTGCGCTGCTTCTCCGCTGTTGGAGAGCTTCGTGGTGATGAAGTTTCCGCCAAGAGTTCGAGCCAGTAATGCTCTTCGACTTTTTTTGGTGGATCCTTGCGCCCCGTTTCCCCGACCACCGACTGGCAGCGAGCCGTGCTAGCGGCGTCTCTCACGTGACATGAGATGGAAAGACGCCGCCCTCACCGAGACTGCAACGTGGGAGAGAAGAAGACATACACGCTGTTTCAATTGCACATCATCATCGCGTTATCACTTTTAATCATTCTGACACATTTTCCCATCAACATTACACCCACCGTCGCAGGTTGAGAGCGGAGAAGTGCGCCTCGAGGGAAAGCCAAGCCACTCAACACCCAGGACGGTTTAGTGCATCGCGTCCGTCGCGCCTGCTCTTCGCGACGTGCTTTAGCCGTGCGCCTTCCTCTCCAACCTCGTCACCACTATATCAGCATTCCTTGTTGTGCAGTCCCAAATCCTTAAATACCCCTCCGCCTGCACTAGATCGTCCATTGGTGTTTTGTATACATATACGCTTGGTAGAACACCATGTCGTCACCCTGCGCCCCTCGAAGCATCCTCATCCAAGAGCCCACGCCTGAGCTCTGTTCATCGCCGCCGCCTACTTCCGCAGCAAGCGCCTGTTCAAGAAAGCCAAAGCGACCACCACCCATCACACCTAAACGCTTTACACGCTTCTTCACTCCTCGACACTCCAAAGATGTTTCATCACGCACCTCCCTTACGAGCTCTGGCCGCCAATTGCAGGACATCACACGATCAGCTCTCAACCGTAACCAGGCAACGCGGACTACGCCAAGGAAGACCGTCAACTTCGTCGACATCGAGAACCACATGCAAACCCCACATAGCAGCCCACGTAAGAGGAAGCCATACCTGTCGCCAGAAAGCTCTCCTGCCCTGTCATCACCGTCGAAGCGATCAAGATACGTCACTCCGCCGGCAATCGACATACTCGACGAGTCTGATTCAGAGGAGGTCTCCATATATCCTGCACCTATTCGAAGATTAAGAACGTTAGGGGGACCATCAAGAACACTGCAACGTTCATTCGGTGGTATTCTTGGTGTTGGTCGAGGGTTTCGGAGGGATCATTGCGCATCATGGCAGGAACAGACAGCAGATTTCTACAGCGGCGCAGACGATCTCCACCAGCTATCACAGGGCGCTCCACCGTTTTGCACTGCAAGCTGCAATAGTATGTTACTACATTCGCCGCCCTTCATCCCTATACTGACGATCAACAGCCAACTCTATGCTTGCCATCGGAGATGAGGATGGTAACATCCATCTACAAGATTCCGAAGGTGACTTCTCGAAGCCCCATCTCTCCTGGAAAGCTCATTCGAATGCCATTATGGATGTGCAGTTCTCCTCGGACGACCTCTACCTGGCCGCAGGATCTGGTGATCAGACAGCTCAGATTGTCGACGTTCGTACCCAACAGACGCTTTCAGTTCTTGCCAAGCACAAGTCATCGGTGAAACAAGTACGATTTCAGCCGGGCGACGACAAGATTGTAGCAACATCAAGTCGAGACGGGGCTGTGCAGATTTGGGACCTTCGCTGCAAGGGAAACCAGGGGTCGATACATTCGGCCTGGGGATCTGACGCCCCCTACGCCAGCGTCGTCCGCACCCTCGCTTCAGCACATGCCGACATCACTCTCCCGTCCGCGTCTTCCGCTAACAAGACCTCTACAAACATTAAGACCGAAAACATCGCCCGACGGAACGACATCTCGGTCACAGCACTCTCGTTCATGCCCGAGGGACGCCAACATCTCCTCCTGACAGCTTCTGATGCATCGACGTGTGTCAAGCTCTGGGACATCAGGGGGCGATACTCACTGCGTGGACCAGCCATCCCTATTGCTACGACGCAACATCCCGAATCCCACAACCGCCATCGACACTTTGCCATTAACTCGCTTACCCTCAATGGCGATGCATCACGGCTTTACGCACTGAGCAAAGACAATACCGTCTACGCCTACTCGACAAGCCATCTCATTCTTGGCGTAGCACCGGAGCTATCTACCACGTCCTTGTCGAAACAGAAGTACTGTGGTGTTGGTCAGGAAGGCCTAGGACCCATCTATGGGTTTCGCCACCGGAACTTCCATGCTGGCTCATTCTATGTCAAGGCATCGCTTCGCAAAGCATTCGAAGATCGAACTGAGATGCTCGCTGTCGGCAGCACAGATGGATGTCCTGTGCTTTTCCCTACCGACGAGCTCTTCCTCAAGCGCGAAATCAGACACCCAGACGACGATGCAGATGATCTTCCTGACATGAGTATTGCCGGAAAGCCCCTGAGACCATCTCTTACTCGTTCATTCACAAACAGCCGCTGCCAGGATACCATTCCCATCTACGAGCACGGCACGCCCCTCCTCCGGGGCCATGATGCAGAAGTCACCAGCGTATCATGGGCGCGCAATGGCACTCTGATTAGCGTAAGCGACGACTTCCGCATTCGAAGGTGGAAAGAGGGAAGTGAGGCAAGGGAGTTGAGGATTGGAGGCGAAAGTGAAGGAAAGCGATGGCAGTGCGGGTGGGCCAGTGTTGGAGATGATTATGATGATCATGATGAGTAGGAGGAGGAGGAGTAAGAGTAGCCTGTTTGCACTTTGTTTATTATACCCATACCCCCTTTTTGAAGGAAGGCTTGTTACGTTTCTGGATACAGAAAGACAGAAAGGATCGTAGATAGTACGGTAGATAGAATTGATGAAGCTCGAAGATGAGTCATCTAATCAAAATCAAATGAATCATGAAGACATACAGTCCTCGTTATGATCTATGTGGAAAAATGTTCCTAGTGAACAATATCGTGAATCATATATGTATCAACAAAGATACCTCTCGCCGCCAATGCCATAGCTAGTGATCAACACACCGCCTTGAAACCCCAAGCATCCCTCACTGGCTATCGCAAGATCTCCACGCATACTGCGGACTCACAACTTCCTAAGCCAAGGCCGGCCCTTGAAGGGGTTCGGTTTCCCGCCCTCATCACTCTCCTCTGCCTTTCCCTTGCCCTTGTAGTCGTTCTGCTCGCCATCGCCCTTCTGACCAAACCGGTACCCACGATCATCAAACCAATCTACAGGACCATCCTCGGGGCCGCCAAAGGAATCAGATATCATCCGACGCGCTCCGCCTGCCAGAGAAGATACGAAGCCCAAGCGTCCACCGGCGGAAGAGGGTGTGTCTCGATGGCAGAAAGCCATAAAATCATCACCGGTAATAGGGTCCTTGTCTAAGGAAGAGGGGGTAGTAACGCCTGTAGCTGGGGAGAGAGTTTCTAGGCCTGAAGAAGAAGACACTCCAGCGCCTGTATCCCCCATCGAAGAAGAACCATACAGGTCCGAGTCGGCCATATGAAGATCACGTGCGTACTCGTCTGCAGACTGAACAGCCTGATTCAAATTGCCGATCCGATGAACACCAGCACTGCCATGATGGAACATGTTCTCATTGAGGGCTTGACGAAGTAGTTCTGGCGGCAGTGTATCCGGAGCTGGGATAGGTTCGCGGACATCCTCCACTTGTGACATGGAAAGTTGGAAGGTCCTGTTCCACTCTGACTCGGTGGGGCTGGGGGGAAGGTCGATTCCAGTGTTGGCTACAAATGTGTTAATCAAAACTGGCAGATCTGGGTAGGTGATGTTTCCGTCAGTGTAGGTTCCGGGTTCGTTGTGGTTTGAAGATTGCTTCTTGTCGGACATTTGGTCAGTCAACATCTGATCCTCGTCTGAAGTCTCCGTCTTAACCTGCATCGAATAATCCATCTCACGGGCGTACTTCACAGGCAACCCCGACACCCCCTCATTCGTCATCTTCTCGCCACGCTTCCGCTTACCGCCCGCGCCCATCCCCAACTTCTGCTTCTCGTCTTTCCAAAGGAGCTTTTCGCGCTGCTGCTTCTTGATATGGTCTTCCAGGTCCGCGTAGATGCGCCCGCTGCCGCTGAAGGATTTCCACACTTTGACGCCTTTGCCAAAAATCGTCTCGGCGGGGCGGTCTGTATTGTCGGTCGTCATGCGGTTGCGGTACTCATTCTCTATTTCTGTCATGTCTTCTTCTTCAGTGCTGGAACCTCCGCAGGTGTAGTCCATCATACCCGTGGTCTCGGTGCTGAGAAAGGAGTTGTCGGCGCCACAATTGCGGGCGCGAGGAACGTCGAAAATGGTGGGCTTGATGGTGTTCTTTTGGCGCTTGCGCAAAGGCTTCCTGATTCTGGAGTCAGAGGGGGGTTTTGGCGGCGGTGGTTGTGGTGGATCCATCGTGGATAGATGAATTGCGTACCGTTGCGCGAACTAGGAACTGTAGTAACCAGAGTCGAGATGATGTCTGGGGAGAGGATGGGGGAGAGGCGAGTGGTGGTGGTTTGGCTTGGTAGAAGGCACCAGGCGAATCTATCAAGGGAAGGGGAGGTCGATGTCGCCATAGTGATGTGCGCGCAGAGGCAGTGGGGCGTTTGGTCGCGTGAATTGCAGCCTAGCACGTGGCTGTAGCTGAGATGGTTGTTGTGCTGTTGTGTTGTGCTTTCACTGAGTACTTTCGAGTGCCCACGTGGCACTAAAATCTTTGCAGAGTTCTCGTCCAGAGTCAATTGAGCACACACATATCAGTATCCAGCAGCCGTTCGATGTTGACACACTCCCCAGTCCTCGGTGCTCGATGCTCGATGCTCGGCTCTTCATCGTATGGTAACTGAAGATGTTAGTTGAATATGTGACTAGACAATGGTTCATAAAAGATGTTTGAGACTCAAGAGACAACAATATAAATATACATTCGCCAGGTTCAGCAGCGTTTAGATCGACTTCAGGTATTCCAAGACATGCGTCTCTTAGGGAAATTATTCTACATGCGCCATTGCCGACTGTGTTCCGGATACAGTGGATGTGCCAAGTCAATTTGTATCATCTAAGGCGTGATATAGAATCAAAAGTTTGAGGCTCATACGTAAGATCTGTAGAACTGGAGCTGCAATGTTTACAAGTAGAAAAAACAGCGCATAGTATACCGTCAGTTAGTATCTCTCTACTCTCTAGTTCCTGTGCTCAGGAGTACAAGAATTTATCGCTCGGCTGGGTCAAAAAATTCCTATCAAGCTGTTTTCTACTCAATTTCGTGTATGAGAAGCACAGCATTACTCGCATAGACACCTAGCTACTGGAAACAGCCAAGACGCGCATGTATCGTTAAAATCAGCTATTTACACATTGAGGTCAGGGAGGGTTGAAGTCCGTGATGACTAGTGGAAGATCGCGCTTCGAGGATGGAACGGTACAGATCGGTCGGGAAGCAGCCAATCGGCCATCAGGTCCTCCGCGGAACACACCTGCTGCAGATCCCGCTCCACACCCGCCAAACGTACCGCACACAGTCACCTAGCACCCAAAAGGAAGGTTTCTAAAAGTAAACTTAATCGCTCGATGCTGCGTAAGCAGCTGTTTGGTCATGTCGACAGGGATGCGCTTGCTACGATTGATTCCCGGATATGTATGTATGTATGTAATCCATTAGCGTCCTTTATCAGTCAGAGACTATGTAGGACGGTGGCAGATGCCATTCTAGCTATTTTTATCTCTCCTTTGATGTTCGTTGGTTATGTTTGACTAATGTAGTTTAGGCATGTCCTAGCTATTACAGGGGAGGAGAGAAAGTAAAACCCTATTATAGCTGCCTGTTTTTCCTTCTCTTCAACCTATCTCTTTTTGCAACGCTTTCCTCGTGTTCCTAAGTCTGAAAAAACCTCAAAGGGGAAAAAGCCATGGGATCTTGAACGAGGCGTAGGGTTGTAACAAGCTTAGCGTAGTGTTTGTAGTCGTAGCAGTGCGTGGCTCGGGTGTACTGCGGCTATAACCTGTCGCTTAGGTTTGCAGGGGTAGGTGAAAATTTGCGAGTTGGAGTAAGCCGTTCGATATTTTTTGGTAAAGCCACAAGTGGCGGTGAGAGGAGAAGGATTCGAACCTTCGACCTCTACTACACTGCAAATTTGGAGTGCGGTAAAGGAATACCAGGCGCTTTACCACTGCGCCATCCCCCCTTGATTCCCGGATAGGAAAGAGGTGAACGACACCATACCAATTAGATCACTAGCCTACGGTAGATGCACATTGGATAGATCGATCTACTGCAAGCCTTGCATGTCTCCCTGCAGCTGAATCATCAGAAATTACGCCTGAGAGACTATAGTTCCGTCCCGTATCTATAAATCATGCGATCGCGGCACCGTCTTCGGAGTCATATAAAGAGACGACACCTACATGTGTCTCTTGTCTTCCGTAGGTGTTGCATGGGTTTGAACATGACCTTACGCCGACAATGCTTCTATCAACTACCATCCTCACATTTTGTACCGCACTGGTCTCAGCGGATCTAGACGGGGAGACCTTGCTTCAACAGTTTTATGCTCCGAGACGCCTTCTTGGAAACTCATTTGGTAATCCTGGTGTCAACGCAACATACGACTATGTCATTGTCGGAGCGGGTCTTGCTGGCTCTCTCACGGCATCCCGTATCGCCGACGCGTTGCCGAATATGACAGTTGCCGTTGTCGAAGCTGGCTCGTTCTACGAGATTTCGAATGGCAACTACAGTCAAATGTATGTTGAAGGACACGATTCGTGGTAAATTTGTTTACTCACTATAATGACAGTCCATACTACTCCACCATGTATACTGGAGGTGACCCATCAGATTACCAGCCATTGGTTGACTGGGGTATTTTTACAGAACCTATCCCTGCGGCTAATGGGAGACGGTTCTTATACGTACAGGGCAAAGCTCTTGGTGTATGTTTTTGATATCATCCCTTCTCTTGTGTAACATAAACTAACATGACATTCACTATGCAGGGCAGTTCAGCTCGGAATCAGTTGATTTACCACAGGTACGTATCTACTTGCTACCACTCTGACTTCACTCGCTGACATCAAGTCCAGAGCAACCAAAGGCTGGTACGCAGCAATCGCCAACATTACTGGAGATCCTGCCTACCTCTGGGAGAACATGTTTCCCTTTATGAAGAAAAGCTTTTCCTTTACACCTCCCGACACTCGATACCGTGCAGAGAACGCGACAGTAAATTACACGTTATCTACGTTCGACAAGCCTGGAGGACCCGTTCACCTGAGCTTTCCAAAATACGCACAGCCAATATCATCATATGGTGCGGAAGGTTATGCCAAGGCAGGAATTAAAGCAGCAGCAGGGTTTTTAGATGGAAATATGCTAGGATATGGGTATTGGCCCTTCACGCTAAGAGCAGAGGATAGCACAAGGAGTAGTACGGAAAGTGCCTTCCTTTCTCGTACCACGGCTAGGACATCGTTGAAGATTTACCAGTCGTGCATGGCGCGCAACCTTCTATTCGACGAGAACAAGCGAGCGGTTGGGATAAACGTCACCGTCGCGGGAACGAGACCCTTCGTGCTTAAAGCGAGAAAGGAAGTCATCGTATCCAGCGGGTTTATCAACTCCCCACATTTGCTCATGGTATCCGGAATTGGGCCTCGCGAGACCCTTGAACGATACGATATACCCGTCATCTCCGATCTCTCGGGTGTGGGTCAAAACCTCCGCGATACCCCAGCCATCGGCGGAGTGGTTCATACCACTAATGTGCAGACTTTCCAACAAGCAAGTAAAGCAAGTCACCGCTCTAAACTTGACTTGCTTGGTTCAAACATAGGCTTTACTTGACTTGCTTGGGGTGATTTTTTTACTTGCTTGACTTGCTTGTATTACTTGCAAGTACTTGGATTACTTGACTACTACAAAGAGATTAAGCTACATACAAATTACCAAAACTCAGTGTTCCACTCTAGTATGTTGTAATCTCCTACAAGCTGCTCATCTGAAAGCTTAGCCTCGCTACAGTTGTACGGTTTATAACCAGCTCGCACCCATGACCTTACTAATTGAAGAGCTGCGAGTAGCTCACTGCCCAGAGCACGTCGTTTAGGTTCAAGAAGGTCGCCAAGCTCACTGAAGAGGCGCTCACAGTCGCTGCTTGATGCTGGGATAGTCATGATATCGATTGCAAACTGCGCTAAATGCGGGTATTTCGGCAGTAGTTGTATCCAGTATTGGACAGGATTTCCATCTGCGTTGTACTGCTCCTGCGTCCACTGCGGCTCTTGTGTTTTCCAGCGCTCAAACTCGTCAAGTGGAGCCTCTCGGTCATTGTTGCGGCTAAGTATAGCAATAATTGCCTCGTCTATGTTGTTGCTACTCGGCGCAGTTGTATACCGCTGGCGTGCTCGTTGAGGTTTGTATGCCGCCCAAAGCTGTTGGAACGACGCGTTGGCACTAGTAAGCCAATCAGCTTTGTCTGCCCACGCCACATCGCAGTAGTTCTTGTAGTACGGGTGTAGGCAAACAGCGGCGTAGTAAGCGGGCGAGTCGTCGAGCTTGTTGTAGTAGTCGTTGGCTTTGCTCCACGCGGCGCGGAGGTTGACGTTGAGGTGATCCTCTGGAGCCTCGGCATGAGCGTTGAAGTCGACGTGCTCGAACGGGCGCGCCCGGGCCTCAAGCTTGCTGAGTACGTACTCAAAAACGGGTATAACCTCATAGATTGCGCCGTATTTGCCATCCTTAGAGCGTCCCTCGAGGCGTTTTGTGGCGTACTTGAGCGGCTCTAAGCAGTCCTGGTACTCTGCAATCACCGCCCAGTCAGCAGCTCGGAGCCCAGTTGATCTCATCCAGTTTGGGGCGTCGGGCCGCTTATTATTCCGCTGCGCAGCGTGCGCATCTTCAAGGATAACCCTATTGATATGATGCTCAGCGTACAAGTTATACGCGGCTTGAAGCTTGGTAGCGCGCTCAAAAGCAGCATAGTATGAGTTCCAGCGAGTGACGACAGGCTTGACTGGCTCGAGTACTTTGAGACGCCCTTCAGCAGGCAGGTTGTTGTTGGCAAGGCGCTGGTAGCCACGAAAAAGCTCGTACTGTTGCGGCGTTTTGATATAGTTGATGACGTCAACTAGCACTCCAATAGGGCCATCTTTCCGCCACTCTCGCATATACTGCTCCTCGGTATTGTACTGCTCTTGAGTGTTGCCGTAGGCGTCTTTGTTGGTGCCAAATATAATAGCCTGGCCGATGAGGTTAAGCGTGTGACAACTGCAGCGGAGGCGCCGGTGAGCGGACTCAAATTCGTACTCGCGCGCGAGCGCGGCGATCGCAGTGTCGTTGTTGGTAGCGTTGTCGAGTACAAAATAGCCTAATCGGTCGCTTGTTATTCCGTATGCTGAGAGCGTCGTCGAGATAGCTTTGGCAATAGCCTCACCGGTGTGGGCGCCAGCGAGCTCAGGCAGATCGATTGGTAAGTCTCGTATTATTCCAGCTGCGTCGGCAAAGTGAGCGACTACTCCAAAGAAGCCACGTTTACCACCCTTTGTTGTCCAGCCATCAAAGCTTACGTGTATTTTGCTTACTGAGCCTGACAGGGTGTCGATAACTTGCGGTCGTATAGACCGGAACAACCTCATCACAAAGGTAGAAACGCTGGTATTACTTACCCACAACGCTGCCTCTGCCTCTGGGTTGGCAAATCTCATCATCTCTCTAAAATCAGGCGTCGTAAGTTCGCTGAGCGGGTGGTTTCGGTTAACAAGCCACATGACAGTGGCTGTTCGAAAGCCCTCTACGTCGAAGTTTCCAAACGCGTTAGCAGTGTTTTGTTGTACGTCTAAACCAGCGTCAAAAGCTTGCCGCAACGACAGCTGGCCTCGAGCTCTCTGCGCTAACTTTGGGCCATCTTTCGTAAGGTTGTGGCCAGGCTTTGGTTGGCTGAGATGGGTGGCTGCTGAGGTTGTAGCCTGAGTAATGTTAAACAAACCACCACGGCCAGCGTCGATAGTTTTGTGTACATGGCAGTACTTGCACACAAACCAGATTCGAGATGTAGCATGGCGCTCAACAACGCGGTAGCCATACTGAAAGATCCAACTTTTTGGGCGCTTAGAACGCGCCAATGGCTTGATAAAATCAGGTAAACGTGCCCAGTCAATGCCGTCAAAGTTCTCAACTAGTGCGCTGTTTGTCTCATCCTGACCACCCTCTCCAGCCTCAGTTGTAGCCACCGTGCCAGCTCGGCTGCCCTCGGTGGGCGCGACAATCTCAGCCTCCGCCTGCGACTCTAAGAACTGCAACTCGAAGGTAGGTATTGGCGGCGAGGCGTTAGCCTGGCTTGCGGCAGCTAGGGTTTTGCGAGGTGATCGACGCTGAGGTCTAGGCTTAGATGCAGGCTTAGATGCAGGCTCAGGTGAAGCCTCAGGAGTTGAGGCGACGTTGTTGGTGGCAGCGGCTACTTTCGTACGTTTGCTCCGAGCAGAAGTTTGTGGTAGGCGACGTTTGGCCATATTGGGGGTATCAGGGCAGTATAAATCACTGGAAAACGCGTTGCTATAGGGGATACTGCATTGCGATAGGCTTCTAGACAGGCGTACGTCGAGATTGGAGCAATGCGCTAGACTAAGGCTAACGTTATTTGATAGCCGCTTAGCCTGTTTGGGACTCAACCGAGGCAACTGCAACACTTCAAAACCATCGCGACATCTACCGTACAGCAGTTTTAGCACCCTCATCACAGTAACGCTAAAACAACCAAGTAAACCAAGTAAGCCAAGCAAGCAAAGTATCTTGACTTGACTTGCTTGCTTAGCTGCCCAGCTCTTACTTGACTTGCTTGCTTGGTTTAAACCAAGCAAGTCAAGCAAGTAATCCAAGTCAACTTGCTTTTTGGAAAGTCTGCTAATGTGCCCGGAAGAAGCGCGTTTACACGTGACGCCTTATCTTTCGACAATGCTATCCAGGGCTATCTCGCCAACGGTTCAGGGCCTTTGAGTAGCCCAGCTAGCGACTTCGTTGCATGGGAGAAGTTCTCGAAAGACTTTACCACGAACATGAGCCAGTCGACGCTCGATTATCTTAACAGTATACCAAGCGATTGGCCTAATGTGGAGTATCCGCTACAAGCTGCGGTTCGTGCATCGACTGCAGGTCAAACCGCTAGCGATACGGGTGTCGTTGGAATACTACTCACTTCCGCGTCGAGCAAAGGAAACGTGACGATCCAATCTGCCGATAATACCATCGCTCCGATTGTTCACATCGGCTGGCTTGATTCCAAGGAAGACAAAGAAATGGCCGTTGCAGCATACAGACGCGCGCGCACCATTGCAGCCAGTGTCTCTGCACTTGGAGACGAAATAGCACCAGGAGCGAACGTAACAACAGATGCTCAGATATTGGATTACATTAAGACGAAAGGCATGAGCGCTATACACCATGGTACCTCGACATGCGCAATGGGGAAAAAGGCATCGGATGGAGCGGTGGTAGACTCGAAAGCGAGAGTATTTGGTGTAAAGGGGTTGCGGGTCATAGATGCTAGTTCTTTACCTTTTCAGGCACCGGGACATTCTCAGGGTGTCACATACGCGCACGCGGAGAAATTGGCACAGGATGTCATTGATGCAGGAATTGGCATGTAAAACCCCCACGGATGTCTAAAAAGTTGACACGTCAAACCCGATTTGGCTGTAGTATGGGCTACAAAAGTAGGCTTGGCATCTCCACAGTGACAAGTTTTTAGTCCTCGGGGTGGTAGAGGTTGCGTAGGTATCCACCCTCGCTTCGGAATTAGTTAATTAGTTAAGGGTTACGCTACAGTAACGCCGCTGCCGCATAACGCGCAGCATGCGACACTACCTCATCCAGTGACTTCATTCCATCCCGAGATCCATATCACAACCTTCGATCACAGTATGAGGTATACAGAACTTCCTCAATACCAGGATTTCCATACGCAATGCTCACACGCGTAAACTCGACCCAAAAACGTCTTGCAGTAGCCTCCGACCTGGTAATGGTTAATAAGGAAGACATATTCTCTCGGAAGATATAATTTAGCAGAGAACACGTAGCCCCGAGCGCCGGGTCACCTATAGTCCAATTCAATCAAGTTTTTCTGGGATATCCGAAGGCTCGAGCCGCGAGACGCGCCAGCACGCTCTGTCACCACCTTATGCTTCTATTCAAGTCTCCCATCGGAAAGGACCCATAACAAACACGGCGACAAGAGAGTTTGTAGCCAGATTGTGACTATCAATCCACTAATTCTCGGGAAATATCACATACACGGCCGTATGATATCAACGACATGCTCGGAAATGTGGCCCAGGCCGAAATCTTCTACGCATATTCTAGGCCAAGTCTTTGCATAACTACCGAGTTAGGCGCACCCAGGTGCTCGGCACTATGCAGGACCACGACAGGGTAAATTCGAGCAGCATGCCATTCTCTTAAGAATAGCCACAACATTTCTCTCGTATTTCTGGGGGATTCGAGCACATATCTCGCATTTTTCCAGGTATTCTCCGTACTGGCTTGAACTACAGACCGGACCGAGGCAACGCTTATCTCACGTTGCCCGCGGGGTATCTTTCTAGCCTTATCGAACACACGACACAACCGGGCCGATGCTAGTTAAGTTTGGACAAGCAACGGGAGGCAAGGTGGGGTATTAACCCCCGACCTGGTCGAGGTGTTTTTAGTCTTAGACCCATCCAACCGCAAACCAACCATAATCACGCCAAAGGTCAGCTTTTTTTAATTCACTTTGCCATTGTAAACATGACAAAAGACGACGGTTCTGTTCATACACCGAAGACGAAGGACGCTGAGGCATCTAATACCGTTGATGAGCGCACAATGGACGTCAAGGTTGGGGTTCACGAAGATGTGTCGCGTTACACGCCGAAGACCTTCTACCGAAGCGTCTTGTTCCAGATGATATTGTTTGGAATGTAAGTTGAAGCATCAATTGAAGCTGAGAGGACTTTACTGATAGATTCACAGGCTTTCACTGGTCGGACCTGCCATGTCGGATGCTATTAGCAATTTGGGGGGTGGTGGTCTGTCATCACCTTGGCTTGCCAACCTGGCGAATTCTCTGAATTACGCATGCGGCTTCTTCAGTACGATTCTCGGTGGACCCATCCTGAACAAAATCGGTATCAAGTGGGCTTGCTTCATTGCCGCTCTGGCTATGCCCCTGTATGGGTCAGCGTACTATGTGAATGCGAGGTTTCACGTTGACTGGTATCTTCTGATGGCAAATGTAATTGGAACGTTCTCATTTGGTAAACCCGGCTCACCGACATTGTCTAGGTCATTGGAGGAGTAACATCAGGCCTGCTATATGTAGCTGAAACCACTGCCATGCTGTCATACCCGAAGCCAGAAGACCGTGGATACTACCTCGGAATCTGGTCTGCTATGCGAAACAGCGGTAGCGTCATCGGTGGCGCGATCAATTTCTCCAAGAACCACACAGACACAAAGAGTGGTGGTGTCGTGTGGGCGACATATCTCATCTTTCTTGGATTCGGTACGTCTATTATCCTGGACCTGTTCAGGCCTATGCTAATATATCGCAGAGTGTACTGGCGTTGTGTACGCGCTCTTACTGTCTCCAACACCTCGAGTTCGTCGTCGCGATGGTAGCAAAGTACCCATGTCTCCACTGCTTTCTTGGAAGCAAGAACTTGTGACTCTGTGGACGTATCTGAGCACTCCTAAAGTACGTATTAGCATTTCCACTACCATATCAACAAAGCTGACAACATAACAGACCTGGCTTGTCTTTATCCCCGCCTTTTACTCCTTCTTCTACGGTGGCACAATGGGAACGTACCTCTCGCTGCACTTCTCAGTACGCGCTCGCGCACTCTCATCTCTCCTCGTCCGTAAGTACCTTGCTCGCCAATCTTGAGGTGTATGTACTGACGGCTGTAGCGTGTATCGTCATCCCTTGTGTCCTCGGCTTCGGTAAACTACTTGATACCAAGCGCATCTCGCAAAAGCGCAAGGCATGGGTTGCTTTCCTGATCTGGCTCATCCCTCAGAGTGCGTGTTTCATCTGGATCGCGCTTGAATACCACTACCGTGGCAAGAAGACAGCTCTGGACTACACCTTGTACGTTTTGCTAGACAGAGCCTTTGAATACTGAGGCTGACTTGCAACAGGAATACGCGCTTGTGGGCCCAGGCATACTTTCCCTACCTTATCATCTTTGTCGCAGGATATCTCACTCAACTGTCGCTTTACTGGATTCTCGGAAACTATTCGAACGTTATGGGCGATGCGTCGCGTGCTGGTGGCACATTCCGCGCTTTCGAAGTCGCCGGTCAGGCTGTGTCGTACGGTTTGAGTTCTGCGAGCGGCATCAACCACACCATCCCTCTCTACGTGAACATTGGATTGTTGGTTATAGTGGTTCCCAGCATGGTGATGCTTATCAGCAAGATGCCCAAGACACCCATTAGCAGTTTCGTCGAGGAGGAGTCGATAGACAATACGGATACAGGCAAGAGGGCTTGATGGATAGACTGGCTCAACTACAGCGATGCTTGTAGACGGCAATGATATATATGTGTCCTGAAACTTCCTGAAACCTCGTCCTTGCGCACCCTTCGCAACGTCAATTTTTCGCCAATTCATCCGTATTGAGCTTGGAGTGAACATGGCTAGACATCACGGTTCTCTACTACTGACAAAATTAGTTACCGCCTTCTAGAGATCCACACCTGAGCTGCGCTATCGGCCCTCTCACACGGTTAACATTTCATTGTTGTCCTTCTCTTTTTGGTCGTTCAGCGGTTCGGCACAAGCCCGCCGAGGTCAACTCCAACACATCCGCAACTCCAATGCAGAGATGTACCTGCTATCACTGCCAACCCCTCTTGTTGTGATAAGCAATGTAGATCAAAGGCAAAATACCGGGCCCATACTTTATCCATGTCCTCCTTCTCGTCCGGCCGTGAGACCGTACCGGCTCGATGACCGGCAACCGGCCCGGTTCAGTCACATGACCCCCCACCCGCACACCCCGTCACATGGTGGCGACCACCCCGGACCCCCTGAAATCACTAGGACGTTGTAAGGCGCATCTTCGAGCAAGAGTTATTTTGAAGCTTACCTAGACAACGCGATCCAACGCGACTGCCATGTCTACACCAAGCCATGGCGCCAAGCCTTTTCCAGTCCCGAATGCGACACCTTCTTATTGGCGCAAAGAGGTTGGGTCTATTGACAATCATCGGAGCACAGAAACGCTGCCTGCGACGTCTGATGTTGTAATTATCGGTGCAGGATATGCTGGCGCGTCGATCGCGCACCATCTGATCGAGGAGAGCGGGAAATGTGGCGGTGCGGTTCCCTCAATTGTTATCTTGGAAGCGAGGGAGACTTGTTCGGGGGCGACGGGTCGAAATGGTATGTTTAATTCTTCCGGGGAAGCATGTTATATCTCTGAGGAACGTATTTGGGCTGACGAAGTTTTAATAGGTGGCCATTTGAAGCCAGATCCTATATCGAGAGCCGCCAACGTGCTCAAGACACATGGCAAGGCTGTTGCTGAACACGTAGCTTCCTTTGAGGCGCGTCAAGTTATCGAAGTCAGAGAGCTGGTTGAGCGTGATCACGTGGATTGTGACTTTGAAGAGACTAGGGTCACGGATGTGTGCTTATATAAGAATGGGAGGGATAAGATCAAGGCCGATCTCGATAGTCTTGTTGCTGCGGATATCTCCACTGTGAGGGAAATCAAGTTCAGTATTGATATCGAAGCTGAAGAGGTATGTGGATATCAGATAGTGTTATCCAATGTTCGCGTTGTACTCATGTTTGATGTAGAGATCTGGCGTTCGAGGAGCGTTATCCTGTCATACGTACCATGCTGCTCGATTATGGCCTTACCGACTGGTAGTCCACTTACTCAAGAAAGCCATATCAAATGGTGTCAATTTGCAGACATACACACCTGTCACAAGGGTTTCCCGAGAATCTATTTCCTCCGCCGACGGCTATTGGATTGTAGACACACCGCGCGGTTCTATCACAGCCAAAACAGTGGTATACGCGACAAATGGCTACACCTCTGCCTTGGTACCCGAGATGAAGGACAAGATTGTCCCAGTCAGAGGCATAGTAGCACATCTTGTGGGCGCAAATGCGCCCAAGATGACCGACAGCTACATGATGCGCCTCTCCGATTACGAATACGACTACATGATTCCACGGCCAGACGGCAGCATCATCCTAGGCGGTGCAAAGCGGGACTTTTACAAGAACTTGCACGAGTGGTTTGACGTCTCTGACGATAGCCAACTGATAAAAGATACGCGACGATACTTTGACGGTTACATGCAACGGCATTTCTACGGGTGGGAGGATAGCGGTGCCCGCACCGAGGAAATATGGACAGGTAGTAAGTTGCCATCAAGTAAACCCGCTCTTCAGCTGCGTGATTAACTAACTCAATGTCTAGTCATGGGCTACTCCAACGATGGCTTCCCTTATGTGGGACCGGTGTGTGATAGACCCGGTCAATACTTATGCGCGGGCTTCACTGGGCATGGTATGCCACAAATTTTCCTTTCTGCAAAAGCTATTGCTTCTATGATCGTCAAAAGAGATGCAGAAGATGTCGACTTGCCGTTGCCCTACCGCACCTCCCCCGAAAGGTGGTATGAGCCCAAGGAACATGCAGCTCTGAAGGCATGGCAGACCTACACGGAAGGCGAAACTGCTAGGGCAAAACTGTGAACGAGAATTGGAATTAAGACGAGATACGGATAATGATTATATGGCTTATTGTGATGCAGGTATGCGATTCGCAATATTACGCTTGGTGAATGAGTGATGGTTCCAGTTTCTTCTACAAGGATTGTCTCACTTCGTGTGCGACAACTACTTCGGCATCCACATCAGGTTCTCGAATAGCTCCCGCTCTGGGCCACCATGCTCGTTGAGATCCGGTGTAAAGAAAGCCACGTTCCCGTCCGAGTTGAGTAGATCAAAATCAAAGGGAAAGTTCTCGATGGAGAAGTCATGTGGAATACCGGTAGCTGCCTGGCCATTTCTGTTCGGCCGTGGTTGCGTAACACGTACCGGGTTCTGCGGCCTCGCTACTTCTGCGCTCTCACCATTGTAAGTCGGGTGTCGACCACGACTCATTGCGGAGTCTCGTAATCTCGTATACCAGTTGACTAAACCTTCATAACCATCTTGCTCTAAGCCCCCAGCTTGGTATGTCGGTTCTTTGGGACTTGAATCGAACATATGAAGTCGGTGCAATGCCGCTTCGAGTGTTTCAATGAGGGAAACTTCCGAACGCGCTGAGTCGCCGACAGAGGCCATTTCTCTAATGGCTTCTAGACCTTTATGTAACGTACTTGAGAACTCGTTTGTACAGTGACAAATGCTGTAAGCGATTAGAACCAGTAGTGATGCGCGACAAGAACTGTATTCAATATAAGAGGATTTGGCGAGTGCCATATCACCTGTCTGTAGACTGTGACAGATATTGATAGCTTCTTGTGCAGCCGCCACACAGTCTTGAACCAGGAAGCCCCACTGTTCTTGCGAACCATTGAATCCTTGTCGTGGCGTCCCTGAACTTTCTGGCGAAGCACTAGCATCTTTGCGCACCTGGCGGTGAGCTAGGATGAACGGTCGCCCGATGAACATATGCAAAAGGCAGCACTCCAACCGACAATGGATTTCCATACGAGTCTCGGGTCGTTCGTGTTGGCTTGTGGTGGACCCTACCCTTGGGTCATGGTGGGAAGGCGACCAAGATCCTCGCAGTTGTGCCTTCATGTGCTTTATTTCAGTCAGGATTGTGCCAACCTCAGACTTCGCGCACGTTCGGAGCCGCGATCTACCCCAATAAAGTCAGCCGTGAGATCATCGTACCTCAAATTCGTTAAGTAAGCGACTACCTACATCTCATGGAGGAAACCCTCAGCTTGACTTGTCAGATACATTGATTCTAACAAGCCAGTGGTATTGAAAGAGTCGGCATTCATACGGCCTGTGTCATGATTTTTTGGGAGATCGACATCGATATCGGAGCGAGCAATGGATGCTGGGCGGCCATGATATATGCCAATTTTCCTGTTTGCGCGGCCGGTAAGCAGATGAAGCGGAGCGGTGTGAACATATGTGAACAAACCTTTCCATACAGTACGTTGTCCACCAGATACGGCGTCTGATCTCTTTGGTGCTTGAGTCAAAAACACTGCGTGAGGCCTTTCGGTGCATGCCATTTTGTATGGCCAGTTTGATGGCCATGTTTAGATATATGTACCCCAACCCAGAAGCATCGATGGGCAAATTATAGAGGCCAAGGAGTAGAAAGACTTGCACACTAAGCAGTGAGCCTGAATGGATGACTTCGGACAGAAGTTTGGCCACTTGGCGGTAGAAGGCGGATCCAATGTCGAGCTCCCAGCTACTTCCGGAATCGGGGTTCATCACAGCGTCAACACTACCTCTACTGTGTTGTCGAGGAGAGTCCAAGTGGACGTATTGCGTCCCAACAGCAAGAACCATCAGCACCACGCATGCTGCAGTAATATCCTTGCTTCGTAGTCCGTTCAAGTTGGCGTATATACGGTCAAGAACACTGTCAAGCCAGGCTCGATCCACATAGTAGTATATACTTGTTGCGTGCTTGAAGAATACATTGATCAAGAAAGTCGCTACTGGACGAGGCGGAAGGATCGTAACGATGTCCGCCATGGAGGTTGAGTCCGGGTCTGCTTCGCCCACACGCATGAAGGCTGGCACCCGGTTTTCTTTATCCAAGCGCTAAAATTAAAATAAGTACACATACGGGGTTGTTACGAGATGTTCACATAAATGCGAGTATACGAAAGATTGCGTACCGGCACATTGGATCTAGCCATGAGCTCGTCAATGTTCCTTTTGATATGCATCGAGAAGTTCCAATGTGAAAACTCGCCGGAGTAATCTGTACCATGGCAATAAAACAGTTAGTTTCGAGCACATTTGTGGGAGACCAGAAGGAAACGCACGAGCTGTGGTGTTGTCTACGTATTCAACAGTACAGTCCTCGTCCTCGATTCCAGGGCTCTCGGTAGGCTGTTCATCTCCAAGTGGGTCGAGCGACGTACTAGTCGCCGGCTGAGTAGTCGACAATGTCAAAGTATCGCACATGCGGCGCAGGGAGTCAATATCCAGGCCAAGATTGGGAAAATGGTGCTTGAGGATGTATTCCATGCACTGCAAACGGTCCATCACTTCTTTGAACGAGGTGGCAATGTCGGGCGCGCGTTTCTCCACCGTCGCTGGCGCGTTGGAGAATTGGCACTGACGACGCAAATGGCGACAACGCCTGCAAGGCATGCCATCTTCACACTTTTCCTTGAGGCGACGGCACTCAGCACAACTGTACGATGCCTGTCAGTCGAGGCTCGGTCTTCCATGCTTATCCAGCAGACAGTGCGGAGTGCAATCTTACGCGCGAACTGCTCGCTGGCGCTCCTCCGCCGCCAGATGGCGCTTTTTGGTGGGCCTCGGATTCTCGCTTTCCATGGCGTAATGCAAACAGGAGAGCACAGGGCAACAGGGCCGGTGGTGACAGCGATTTGGGAGCGGGTCTATCAGATGGCGATGTTCAAGGACTGCAGCCGGCCCGGTCAGTGTCACATGACCTTTGGTCCAAATCGCACGTGATGCAGCGAAATTGTTCCCGGGACTTATCGCAATATTTCCCAATCGGCGAGATCTGATATGACCGGTCCGGTTCGATTGAGTCGGAGCCGAAGTCTCGTATGTAGAATACGGGCCGCGTGCACGTACAAAGTGTGTTGGAAAGACAAGATCAAGCCCAGTTGATTGAAGAGCTTTAGAACAGATACACAAGACCAGCTACCATGAGCTCCGACAAAGTACATGTGCAAGACGGCCGACCAGATCTCAAGGCATGGGTAAGTACAGTATTGTTCTTGATACGAAGGGCTAGACGAAGGAATACGACTAGGTCCAAAGTGGAGGGGTTCCGAGGAGCCCCCGCTAGTTACTGCATGCACTGACCTTCTGTTCTCGGCCTTCGGAACTGACGCGCTATCTTAGCTCCGCGACCCCTCTCTGCTACGCGACAGATGCTTCGTCAACGGCAAGTGGACTGAGTCCAACTCGGCCGAAACCTTCACTATCGTCGATCCCGGTAGCAATCTACCCTTTGCCACATGTCCGGCATCTGATGCTTACGATGTCGATACCTGTGTGCAGTCGTCGCATGCCGCCTTCGAGATCTACCGGGAGGTCAACCCCAGAGCACGGGCGAAGCTGCTTCTCGCGTGGCATCAGCTGATTGAAGAGAACAAGCATGACATAGCGAAGATTGTCGTTTGCGAGTCTGGCAAACCCCTCGCTGAAGCTATTGGAGAGGTCGAGTATGGACTTGGTTTCACCTGGTGGTTTGCAGGGGAAGCAGAAAGAATTCGAGGCTCTGTAGCGCAACCGTCCTTCTCCGATCGTCGTGTTGTGGTCATCAAGCAGCCCATCGGCGTCGCAGTTGCACTCGTTCCATGGAACTTTCCCGTAGCCATGATCATGCGCAAAGCTGCTGCTGCGCTTGCTGCTGGATGCACCATGATCATCAAGCCTTCTCCAGAAACGCCCCTCAGCGTCCTTGCGCTTGTCGAGCTAGCTCATCGAGCTGGCTTTGCGGACGGAGTCTTGAATGTCTTGACAACCGACATGCAGCGTACCCCTGAGGTCAGCGAGGCCCTGTGCAAGCACGACCTGGTGCGCAAGGTGACCTTCACTGGCAGCACCGCTATCGGAAGTCTGATAGCGCGGCACTGCAGCTACGGGCTGAAGAAGCTGACCCTGGAACTTGGTGGCAACTGCCCCTTCCTTGTGTTCGACGACGCTGATTTGGATTCCGCTCTTAGTGCCCTGATGATCTTGAAGTGGAGGACCGCTGGTCAGGCATGCACTCATGCAAATCGCATCTACGTACAGAAGGGTGTATTCGACAAATTTGAGGGCATGATCCTTGATGCCGTGTCCAGAATTCGCGTCGGCCACGGTTCTGAACCAGGGAGCACCATGGGCCCCCTGACAACACCACGGGGCATCGAGAAGCTGGAGAAGCTGATCGAAGATGCTCGTAGTAAGGGCGCCATTGTGAAGACTGGCGGCCAGCGACCTCCTCATCTTCCTACGGGTAACTTCTTTGAGCCCACAGTTATATCTGAGATGACCTCAGATATGCTGGCCTACAGGGAGGAAATCTTCGGTCCGCTACTTTGCTTATATCGTTTTGAAACCGAAGGCGAGGCTATCAAGCATGCCAATGACACTTCGATGGGCTTGGCTTCTTACTTCTTCACAAGAGACGTTAACAGGACTTGGCGTCTACTGGAAAAGTTGGAGACCGGCATGATTGGTATGAATTCAGGTCAGTACTCACAAACAATCTCACATTTCACAGCGCCATTAACATAGGCGTAGGAAACTCCTCATGTGCAGAATCGCCTTTTGGTGGTATCAAATCATCTGGATATGGGAAAGAAGCGGGCAAAGATGTTGCTATCGAGGAATACTTGATTACTAAGACAGGAACGCTCACGCTAGAACAGAGTCGCCTCTAGAGGTAGTCTGAATAGAAGAAATAGCCTCCAAGCTCTCTTTTCGGTCGTCAAGTCAAGTCTTGCCCCGATTCATACAGCAATTTCATACCTCATACCACATTGAGTGCAGTTCGACGACTCAACATGTTACATTGATGATGCTATGATTTATCTACAATCTGTTGCGCCATGTCTTCCAAACTTCCAGCCACAACCTCCAGTTTCGCATGGCTGAAGATGTCCAAACAGGGTTCCAACTCATAGACCGAACTCCATGCGCCTCGGAATCCCACTTTCGTCGCCGCCGTAACATCCCACATGTGCGCAGCAGCAAACCATTTGATGTCGTTCGCTCCCAACTTGTTAAAGACTACCTGATAAGCCGCCATGGCGGGCTTTGCCACTCCAAGACCGTCGCAGCTGATGAAGTTCTCCATCGGCATATGAACGCCGGCACGCTCAAAGTAGCCCATGACACGCTTCACATCTCCGGTAGTGAAACACCACACTGTGAAGCCATTGTCGCGCAGGATCTTGAAAGCCGCTTCACAACCAGGCCGGAGTAACAAAGCCGAGTAGCCTTCAATGCATTGGTCGCGCTCCTCATCGGTAAACAAGGCCCGAGGGTCGGCGACACCGGCAAGCATGAGGGTCCGGTAAAATGTTCCCCGGAGAATGTCTTTGTAGGGCTTGTAGCTGCCAGCTATGGACAAAAAAGTAAATTCCAACTCGGCAGCAGATTGCCAGGTGAATCCAAAATGCTTCGGTGTGATGGTGTGTTTGAGAAGTTTGTCGCCCAATACGGATTCTATGACCTCGTAGTATGCGTCAAACGACACGCAGGTTCCGACAACATCGAAGACGACATGTTTTGCAGGCTTCGTCATTTTGTGGGTGTGGTAGATGAGCTTGGAGAGTTCGATGATGATGCTTGCATCGGCCGATCTAGTTGAGATTATACATAATGGTTGTTGTTGGTGTTGACGGCGCTTGCATGAGAGCCTCACCGCTCCGGCTGACTGACTAATAGTTAATGAACCGGGCCGGTGGATCGACAAGCATTTCCGGACCTTGGTGGAGAGCTTATCGCCATCGACCGGGGTACGCGTACGTAGCCGTTTGATTTACCCAGAGACGCGTTCTTGCAAATATCCATCACGTGTTCAGGGGAGATGATGGTGCTCATCTATGAATAGTCGAGACGTGCCGGTGAGCGACACCAAACACCAACAACCTGATTTTCCAACGTCCCATCATGGTCCTGCCCAAGATTAACCCCACAAAGTCCTATTGGATCGAAGCTGCCGAGTCGCCTTTGCGCAACTTTCGATCAAGCGAATTGTTACCAGCGGAAACCGATATAGCAATCATAGGATGCGGCTATGCTGGCGCGTCCACAGCTTATTGGATTCACAAGGTCCGTGGCTGCATCAGAGTACCTGATCAATGGGATTACTCTAATGAAAGCCTAGTATACGGAGAACAGCCCAAAACAGCCCAAAGTAATTCTGCTTGAAGCTCGAGAGCTCTGTGGTGCTGCAACGGGAAGGAACGGAGGACAGTTAAGACCACACCTTTATTCTAGATATCCCAAATGGTCCAAACAATGCGGTCGCGATGGCGCAATGGATCTCATCAGACATGAATTCGCCCATTTGTCTGCGTTTAAAGAGCTTGCTGAAGAGGAAGGAATTACTGAAGAAGTGTGTCTCAAGTTTGTAGAGACCTTTGATGCTGCCATGACTGAGGATGCATGGGCACGACTAAAAGGCGCGTTGGAAGCTATGCGGAAAGACCAAGGGGAAGACAACGAGATCGTCAAGTTATGCAAGCTCATCGAGGACCCGCGCCAAGCAGAAGAATTTTCGCAGATGAAGGGAGCTCTTGGGGCGATAACACATCCTGCCGGTCAAATGTCAGTTCTTCCTATCTATGTGGCACTAAAAGCGTCTGACATATCCCCAGTTGGCCATACAAATTTGTGCATGCGCTCTTACGCATCGTTTTGGAGAAGGGGAATCTGAATGTGCAGGCACACACGCCTGTTGAGCAAGTTTCAGAACGGGATGACAATGGCTGGATCACCGTCACGACTGAGCGGGGTAGTATCCGTGCCAGGACAGTAGTGCACACAACCAACCGATGGGCATCACACCTCCTGCCCGAATTTACTAAACTCATTGTACCGGACCGGACCAACATCGCTGCTATAAAGGCACCCCCGAACTTTATTAAGCATACCGGTGCTCAGCACTGGGATTGCGTCGTCAACGTAAGTGTTCCCCTACCCTCTATCAAAAGACGCCCTTCTCACCCCCAGTAGAACTACCATCTTCAACTCCCTCCACCTTACAACACCATCATCTTTGGAGGATCCAGGCAACTCCTCTGTCACATGCCAGAAGAAACCCTTCTAAGCGATGACAATGACCGACAGATTGTCGGAACGCCTCAATTCGCCAGAACTTGGCCTGCTTCAGACATTGCAAACTGGCCTGGTCCAGCCGTCGCGGAGCTTAGCTTGGAGGACAACGAAGGCGGCTCGTGGACGGGTGTACAAACCGAAAGCGCAGACAAGTTCCCTTTTGTCGGTCCCGTACCATCTCGTGATGGACACTATATGGCGGCGGGCTTTGCTGGACACGGCATGCCTCGCATTCTACTTACAGCTGCCCACATCGCGCCTATTGTGATTGAGTCTATTGGCTTTGAACACAGTCAGCCGCATCTCGCCGCGGCGTATCCCCCACTGCCGAAACCATTCCAGGTCACAGCCGAGAGGATTGCGAGGCTTCAGAATACTAACCTTGAGGCGTTTGCGAGGGATTTCGCAGCACAATGCAACGCGAGTGCGAAGAAGCCGTTTGCTAATACTCCGCGGGTTCTTGTGGCACTTGGTGGTAAGAAATTTGAGAGCTTGCCTGTTTATCAGGAGACTGCTAGCTTGTAGAGACAGTTGTTCAATGACATGAAGACAATGATCCCGATGGTCCCGATGAGACTGTTGAGCGTGATATTCGAGTGTGCAGAGTGTGATTGGGTCTGTCTTCTGGTGCCATCAGCAACACCCGTCGCCTTCTTCTTTTCCCCCGTAGCACCTAAGTGCCCCGCACATGGCAATGGCGTGATCAATAGTAGTAGTACGTTACGTATCGTATGCGCGGCAGAAAGAAACATTTTGTGTAAACTACCTAGGTAGATGGGGATTTGCGCAGATGGGGCTAGTACGTAAACGGAAGCGGCGAGGGCACATCCTGCTGCCTACCTAGGTACCCTACCGGTAAGTTAACAACCTGAGGTGCGGCCAAAACACGTCACTCAATCCGCTCATCCATCACCTGTCTTCAAACGCCAACAGTCACTGTACGGCAAGTCTTCGATTCATACATGACTTTGGGGCGGCAAATTCTTGCGACGAGAATGTAGCAGCCCATGTGCAGACGATTGAGCTCTGGACTGTACTGATGCCTCCAGGTAGATGTCCACAACACCTGATTTACCAAAAGAGAGAGTCATTACTCAAGAAGAATTCGATAATGCCGTCAAATTGGGCGGCAAGTTTGCCCCAGTGTTCAAGGTCGATGAGAAGACAGTGGTGAAAACTAGCGACATGACCCAGCTGGGTGAAGCGGCTGCTATGAAGATGGTCCGTGAAAAGACGACTATTCCTGTGCCGGAGGATCAAAACGTATATACCGATCCCACGACAGGCGACGTGCCAATCGTCATGGACTTCATCGAGGGCGATTGCCTTTTAGATGTCTGGGACACATACGATAACGACCAAAAACAGCAGATCATCGAACAACTGCACAGCTACTTCGCACAGCTCCGGGAACTGAAAGGGTCATTTATCGGATCCGTCGATGGAAAGTTCTGCTTCGATCAAGTCTTTGACCAAGACATCGGTGGGCATGGGCCTTACGAGGACGAAGCATCGTTCAATGAAGGTCTCGTCAAAGCGCTCAAGAACACCATGATCAGCGGTTGGGGCGACACGGTTTGCGATATGGTCCTCGCGATGAAAGATCACGAGATAGTGTTTACGCACGGAGATATATCGCCAAGAAACATACTGGTAAAGGACTGCAATATTGTTTCTGTACTGGATTGGGAGTATTCAGGTTACTATCCCGAGTACTGGGAGTATGCGAAAGCTTTCTTCAGGCCGGCGTGGGAAAAGAGCTGGATCAAAGACCGGGCGGTGAACAAGATACTCAAGCCATATCCCTTGGAGAATGCCATATGCCAGCATGTATTCAGTTTTGGGGCTTGGTAAGAGATGGATGTCACTGCCATCCGAATCTTTGGCCTGCAGTGTAGCGTCATCATTACAGGATCAGCCGTACAGTCTTAAGTCGCGCAATTCTGCACGGGAATCGTGACATCGCGTCCTTTCCGTAGATGTAGAAGATGCAACTGAAGCGAAAGACGGCGAAACGGAGACCCGTCGGTTTAGTTACTGTGGTTTATCTGGACACGATGACTCAAGCCAGGAACGGCTAGCGGCTGTGGGGCAAGGATGCGGGGAGATTTCAGGGCCATCTGTCCAGATTGTTCTCCGCATCGAAACATTCAGCCAAGAAACAAGGAGCTTGGAAGAACTCCAGAGTGTCTCGGGCCAATGGCAATGTTCAATTCGATACTCATAGGTCTTTTCTCGATTTCTCAATAACCGTGTTTCAATTTCCCCACCTATCGCTCGGCCGGGGCGTGTGAAACCGTCGCATTGCAGCAGCCACAGGACTCCATTATATTATCTTCAGCCGCGGAAGATTCTTGTTTTGGACATCTGTCACGAATTGATGAGGAATGACATGCGTTAGCTCCTCGGCCTCATCAAACTAGCGGAGAAATTTGGGCCATGTGTGCCATCTCGAAAGAGCATGTATCGCCTAGATTCGAACTACTGTAAGCTTGGCTGGCTCGGTGACATCAAAAGGACGCGCTTACCTCCGTCGCTTTCGCGCAATCGACAAAACCTGGAAATACCATCAAGATGTTGTCAAACATGGTCAACCGGTTCGCTTCGGCATTTGCTATTCTTGCATTCTGTAGGCCTTTCGCATCCATCGGATACTCAGGCATATGTAGCTAACATGTACCAGTCTTCTCCCTTGTCAACGCTCTCCCTCACGAGTCCCGCAATGTCCTCGAAGCACGCCAAACAAAAAACCTGAGGATCCTACCCCTAGGCGACTCCATTACTTGGGGCTTCATCAACGGTGGGGGATCGAACGGTTACCGTGAACGCCTGCTCAGCGACCTGAAGTCCTCCGGCTACACCGTTGACTTTGTCGGCAGCCAAAAGTCCGGAACGATGGCAGACAAGGACAACGAGGGCCACTCTGGCTTCACCATCAGTCAGATCCGAAACGTTGCTTCCGCTGGGTTAGCATCTCGCCCAAACGTCGTGTTGCTGCATGCCGGAACCAACGACCTGAACCGAGGAAACCCTGCTTCAGAACCGGACTCAGATGCGCCTAGGAGATTGGGACTCTTACTGGACGATGTTCTGAAGGCGGTCCCCAACGCTGTTGTTATTGTGGCCAAGATCATTCCGTCAAGGCAGTCAGGTCTCAATGCGAACATCAAGACCTTCAACAACGCGTTACCGGCTATCGTTGCGGCCCGCGTTAGCAAGGGATCAAAGGTATCGATTGTCGATATGAACGTCCTCAATACGAGCTCGGAGTTGAGCGATAACCTGCACCCGTGAGTTTGACTCTTGCATGATTTCATAGATCTTGTGTCTAACTCGTTGATAGGAACGCTGCTGGATACTCGCGCATGGGTAGTATCTGGAATGCTGGTATCAAGGCTGTTGCCGGTTCTATCCCGGCGCCTGCCTGATTGTAGTGAGGTCTAGGTACATATGATTTGCTAGCCCTATGCACGATAGCTATCGCAAAATGAGAGCTCAAAATCTATTCAGAAACCCCGACCCTCTGAGATTGTGTCATTTTCTACTTGATATTTTGTTCGTACTAAGTAGTTAACGTGGATGGCAAGCGAGTGGGCCAGGCAAGCGAGTGGGCCACCCCACCAACTTTTTGCATCTACCTAACTTCAATCAATTATGGCTCCACCAAAACAATCCCAAAACCCTTCTTATGAAGCTGATATACAGCTAGCTATCTCAGCTACTACCCGAAACCAGCTCCAGTCTAATAGAGACGCTGCGCGGACATTTGAAGTCGCCCGAATGACACTCACGCGCCGACGCGCTGGTATACCTGCACGACGCGATTGCCAGCCTAACTCAAGGAAGCTTACCCAGAGAGAAGAGGAGGTGATTATTAGCTATATACTTCACCTAGATCAGCGCGGGTTTGCGCCTACCTACGCAGCTGCACGCGATATGGCTGATAAGCTGCTGGCTGCGCGCGGCGCTGGCCAGGTTGGGCAGAAGTGGCCAGCCAACTTTGTTAAGCGTACAGACAGTCTTCGGACGTGTTTCAACCGAGCGTACGATAGGCAGAGAGCTATGTGTGAGGATGCGACATTAATAAAGAGGTGGTTTAAGCTTGTAGAAGAGATAAAGGCTGAGCAGGGTATCTGCGATGAGGATGTCTACAACTTTGATGAAGCTGGCTTTATGATGGGCAAGATTACAACGCAGCTGGTTATAACAGGATCAGAGAGAAGAGGCCGGCGGAAGAGTATTCAGCCAGGCAATCGCGAGTGGGTAACGCTGATTGCTGCCATCAGCGCTGGTGGCTGGTCAGTGCCACCGTTCCTCATCTTCGCTGGTCAGTACCACCTATCAGCGTGGTATGAGGAGGATATCCCACGCGACTGGGCGATCGCAGTCAGCGATAATGGCTGGACGAATAATGAGCTTGGAGTTGAGTGGCTAAAGCACTTCAACGCTCACACGCAGGCTCGTACTATAGGCGCGCGTCGCCTGCTTATTATTGATGGCCATAGGAGCCACCAATCTCTAGAGTTCCAGGAGCTCTGTAAGGAGAACAATATCCATACGCTCTGTATGCCTCCTCACTCATCTCACCTACTCCAGCCACTTGATGTTGGCTGCTTCTCGCCATTAAAGCGCGCGTATAGCCGTGAGGTGGAGAGCCTCATGCGCAACCACATCAACCACATCACCAAGCTAGAGTTTCTGCCTGCGTTTAAGGCTGCGTTTGATCGAGCGTTCACGCCAGCTAATATCTACTCAGCCTTCCGCGGCGCAGGCCTTGTTCCTCTACAACCAGAGGCTGTTCTATCAAAGCTAGATGTACAGCTGCGTACACCTACTCCTCCAGCAGCTCTACCAGATGCTCCCTGGGTAGCTCAAACGCCGAGCAACGCGCGTGAGCTTGAGGCTCAGTCAAGCCTTATACGTGAGCGCGTGCGCCAGCATAAGAGCTCATCACCAGCTTCGATCATTGAGGCGATTGACCAGCTGAAGAAGGGCGCTGAGGTGATGATGCTGTCTGCTGAGCTGATGCGCGATCGGATCTCTAGTCTTGAGAAGGCTAACAGCGCAGCCTCAGCGCGTAGGCAGCGCTCTAAAAGGCGTATACAGAAGCATGGAGTACTCACAAAGGGAGCTGGAGAGGATATACTAGCTCAAAATGAGGCTGACCAGCAGATTGCTCATGAAGAGCGTCAAGGAGGAGCGCGATCAGGCCTTAGCCAGCGCGCTCAAAGGCGCTGCACCAGGTGCAAGGAGACTGGGCACAACTCGCGCACATGCAACACTAATACTCTTAATATAGAGTAATCTACTGTATCAATATCTAGCAATAATATTATCGCGTTGTTGAGATAAGTCGCTTTGAAGTTACAAAAGTTGGTGGGGTGGCCCACTCGCTTGCCTGGCCCACTCGCTTGCCATCCACGTTATTTATAGCGTTATAAAGGCGAACGAAGTAATCCAGGAGCCTCGAAGACCAACTTGTAACCCATCTAGTGAATGAACTCACAATTCCCAGGAAAGAATCTATTGGGTGTTAAATTGGAAACTAGGAAACTATCTGCCGTATTTGGTGATACGGTTAAGCATCCTTGGACGGGGCAGATCGGCTGTGGAAGGTACAACGTCAGAAATGACCTGATACATCTATCCTCATTTGCTCAACAGTCTGTAAAGAGTTACTTTTCGGTGTCTTCAATAATCTTATTTCAGAACCGTCTATAACACAGGTGATATCACGCACGTGCGGACGTCGTCGTCTGCATCGCGTTCTGATAAACACTTTCTAGACGCCGGATGAATACGTCAACATGGCTGCATTTGGAAGAAATATACGACCTATTGAAAAGCTGGCACTATTAGTAGTAGTATGACTACCTAATAGAGCGCTCTCTAAGGCACAACGGTAGTGGTGGTACGACTCGTATTGTATTGACTAAGGAGCTATTCACACGTTCGTAGATCCGTGTTGCGTGCAGCTGCGTCCAAGCTCCCCGCTAGGACCCACCTGCACGTGTCACCAATCATGTGACTACTCCTCCGCTTGATACCACCAAGTCACTTACGGACTGTATTCTCAACACGACCGCAGTTTTTGCATACATTAAGAGGTCCTATCTATATGACGGTTCTATATTTGGATACAGCAACTTCTCAAAACTAGGAAACGCCATGAGGAATGTACAAGCATCCCCTGGCCATATTCCTTGCCACCAATTCTAATCCCTTAGCAAGTTACGTTCTCATGAGGACTGTGCTCAATAAGAGTACGATAATGCTCAGATACCCCGGCTTCAATGATTTTCTTGTTTTCAAGCGCCTCAATTGCGTCGCATGTCCATCGTTGACAACGCTGTAGTGGCACAGCTTGGACAGCCCTCTCCAGCTTATTTAGATCCTTATGTGACACTGATGACTACGCCGTAGCGTAACGCCGCACCAGGATGAAAGCATTGACCTTAAGTCACCTGACCAATGGCCGCCACACGCGAAGAGGAAGCATCATTTTGTCTCCACAAAATTTCGTCGATCGGAATATGGCATGGCAAGTCCGAAATGTCAGGATAATCATAGTAAGGCAGTGTATAGTCCCATGTTGTGGTTGCAAAGGCTGCAATCCTTTTAGCGTTTATCAAGTCAGTTAGTTATACAAGATTTGTGAGATTAAACAGTCTTAAATCCTATCTGAAATTCCGGTAATGCTTCTTCACTAGTCGAATTCTAAGCTATGCCTCCAGGTTTTCCAGGAACTCGACAACATCTCGCAGCATGTCGTCAGAATACCAGTGGCCTGACCCCTCGTACTCCTTCCATGTGACACTCACATCCAGAGTAGTCAGGAATTCTGCTGCCAGCTTGCCAATCCTACATGGAACCTTCTCATCGTCAATCCCATGGCCCATGAAGAGAGGAATCGACTGCATTGCAGGCTGATCATGCTCCCCGCTTACGCTCCCGCATGTCCCTAGCTCCTCACCCAGCCATCCGACAGCCTTCTCGAACATGTCTTCCGCATCCTCATCTGACCTTACTGACGCATCGTCATCTTCATCTTCTGGTTCCTCCACAGAATCATGCATGCCTTTGCGGAATGGCAAATAGCCACACATGCCGACCAATGCTCCAAAGGGCTCACCCTTCCATAACAGCGTCGATACAATGCTAGCTGCACATCCTTGACTGAGTCCCATAGAGACAACATTCTTTGCGCCTATAGTCTTGATCTCCTCCTTCAACAAGTCATGTAAGAAGGCGCTTGTTTCGCGCAGGCCTTGGGACTGCAAGTGTTGCTTGAGTTCTGGCCAGACTCCGCAACAATCAATCGGATCGGCATGATTGATTCCTATCTAGGTTAAAGGCTGCCTAATGAAGTAATTCTTTAACCTATATAGGAATCAATCATGTCAATCGATTGATTGTTGCGGAGTCTGGTTCTGGCTGTGTTAAAGACCAGTTGTCGAATCATTGATGCGTGAGGCTCCGCTTGAATACTACAGCTCTTCGCAGAGGCGCAGTTGGGAAGACAAATCTTGTATCTGGGAAGTAGTCTTGGAAATACTTTGGCGGTTCGGTTTTTTGTAATGATCCCGTATTCGAACTTGTGGTTGTGCATAAAGGAGAGACAATATGCTTGAGTAGTGGCTCAGCGAACTTTTCGTCGGTAGAGCCGCGCCCGTGGAGAATTATCAGAGTTGTCTTGTGGTCTCGCAGAGGTGGGACGATGAGAGGCGGAGAGGGAACTTGCGCTATCTTATTTGAGGGCGACATTTTCCAGAGACTTCCTTGAAGCAGAGGTTGATGTGCAGGACGTTCTTTGCGCGCTTCTATGCTTTTGGGTATAATAATACGTGATTACTTTAAGCGCCGTGAAATCAATTTCACGAGTCCTATGCCTAATTGAGGCCTGTCGCCAGGAGAAGCACCAAAGTCGCTAAGGCGTGGCTGAGTTTCTGAATGGATCGTGGCTGCACCCAATCAGCGTAAAAGTTTCAACGCTGCCCTGATCAGACTTGTCAACAATCAAGCGGCTTGCAAGCGCTTAATTAATAGCTTGATAACTACCAATCCTATCAAGTCAAGCTCAACTATACTAATTTTTTAGCAATCCAAGCTGAGGAGGGTCAGCTTGATTGTTCAGCTTGATGGGCTTGATTAAGGTAGCGCGTGAGGCTGCTCGTTTTGGAGCAGGAGCGATCTCACGATAACTATATTTTTAGTGTTGTAGTCGTCGCACTACTACTACGTAATTAGCCTAACTTCTGCAACACTATACTCCCTCCACTAGCTACCTAATTAACCTACTATCGCGTCGTTTTTTTGCTCCCGTCGCCCTTATCGTATTGCCACCGCTATGCCTCCTACGAAACGCGCCTCTGATAACCTTACTCGCCCGAAGAAACGCGTTAAATCTTCTACCGCCCGCGGCACTGTCAGCCAGTCTATAGCCGTTAATAGTCAGCTATCGCTATTGCCGTCGCATCTGTCGCCTCGCAGAGCTATCGTAGAGGCATCCTAGGCTTCAACTTTTAAGTCGCAACCACGCAAGTTACGGCCTGAAGACGCTATCGTCGCGCCTACCGAGGGCAGCGAGAGGGTAACAGCAGCCTCGTCGGCGGCAGCCCTAGATAATAAGATCTTGCAAGAGGCGCTAGACGCGAGCCTTATAGACGACTTTAAGGGAGTCGATTAGGGGCGTTTACGCAAGTATATGAAGCCGCTCTCGTCACAGAAGTCGCGCAAGAGCTAGATCTATCGCTATAGCTACAGCGTTGCGCTGCTAAAGGACCTAAGTAAGCTATACTTCGTGTGCCGTCACTGCTACGAGCATAAGTACACAGATACCGACGTCGGTATATATAAGACGACGCTCTTAACGTCGTCAGCGCAGCGATACTTAGAGCTGCCTAAGCGCGGGCATAGCCACAGCAAGTCAGCCGCCGCTGTAAAATCTACCTAGTGTTGCAAGTACGAGCTTAGGAATAATCGGGATGAAGATCATTGTTTTACTATCTATGAGATGAGAGCTCGTTATATGCGAGCTCTGCTGTGTACTAGTCTACAAAGGGAAGGTGCAAGCTCGGTGTCGGAGCTCCGTCACCGAGCAAGTATGAAATGGAGCTTTGCTGCGACACCTACCTATAACGCCTGCTTAAAGACGGCAACAATAGCGTGTCGCAGAAGGTGGCTAACGAGCTCGCTAGCTTTAATACCTAGCGCTTCTAGCTAGCAGCTGTTAGCTGGCTTATTAAGAACAATTACCCTCTCTCTAAGTTTAAAACACCAGCTTTTTAACGCCTCCTTAAAACTTCTAACCTACTAGCGGAGCGAGCGCTTTAGATGTCTTATGTAAACATCTCCTAGTACGTTGTACGCTTATATAAATACCTAAAACCCCGCGTTATCTTGTAACTGTCGCAGGCGCTTAGCAAAGTTGTCAGATAATAGCACTGTTGAAGATGAGAGCGTACAGACTCTGGGTTAGACTAGCGCGACCCGGCATCTGTGAGAGCCAATCGGATCACAGGAAGGCTTGGCACCCCCTAGGTGTGCCCACAACCGTAGACAGAACAAAGACACAATCAATCATCAATATTATCACCATCATTACCTATTTCATCAGTATTCCAGACGAGAGTGAATATCTGACAAAAGTACACCTTAGCTTTAATAGATAGACGATAAAGGGCGGCAAGTGTAAGGAGTATTCGAACAGGCACTGAGATGTAGGTATAGGCTTGTATTAAGACGAATCCTTGAGGAGCAATCAAGGATTCAGTGAGATGCTATATACGACTATGGCACGTGACTGTGGCTGGCTCGGGCCGATGGGTCTCCGAAGGGGTCCCCGAGGCCTACCGAAGTATGGCCCAGCTAGAGTATCGTGACAGCAAGCGTGGCTTTCTAGGCGTCGTTGCGCACTTTGTTAACAGTAGAGGCGACCTGTAGGACTTACCTATAGCGCTGCCCTAGCTAATAGGCGCTTATAGTAGCAAGAGGATAGCTAAGGTGTCGCGGAAATGGACTTGATGTTGGACGTCGGGTGCTCACGTGATCGGATCGGGTCTTTGAGACTCCGGATCCGTGCCAGGGGACTGATCCATCATGTACAAATACCGGACTAGCCCTCTGATCTTTCTGATCCTTAGAGCAATCAATAATCCCACTCTTGAACGAATCTGATCGGTGCTATCCCAACAACCACATAAGGTTATTATAAAAACGCTGCAGGACTTTAAGATTACGTCGTAGTTAATCAGTTACTTTATACTTAATAACGCTACTAATAACGACAGTACTATCGTAATATTAGCTTAAGAGTATAGTTTTAATGCTACCTGTTGGGAATCGAACCTGCGGTAGATAAGGCAGCTGGTTGCTGCATGCACGAGCTTGGATTACACGGCTGACTAAGCCGTGTGGTCCGAGCTCTAGCTGCTGCCTTACTGCCGACCTCCCTCCACCTCCATAGAACAACAAGAACAATCACAATCATTTCAACTCGTTGCAACGAAGGTGATTCCGATACCTTAGCCGTATCAACACTGATCAGTGGTTGCTACACCACAGATCGGCTAGATATCTGACAAGGAGACCCATCAGCTCTTTTGCTGTGTAGTCTTGGCCAAGAAGCGACTCCTCCTACCTCACAGTAGCAAGGAGTGCGAAGTACAGCACCGCCCGCAGAGACTACCTATCAAGGTAGCGCTTTCGCCGACAGTTCTGAAGGAGATCTTGAACGAAAAGATCTGCGTCAACCACGCACAAAAACAACTGACAACGCCTGCAACTAACAGCAAACAATCGACTGACTTCAGCACCATGGCACCATACAAGAGCGTCAAGTACCGATCGTGGTACTCCGAGATGCACAAGAGTGAGTATGTCAACGCGGAACTCGACCCGACCGACACAGTCATAAACACCGACAAACTGAACACTGTCGTCCTCGATTGGGTGTAAGGGGCTAGACCCCAGCGGCTGTATCGATGACGATACACAGATGACTGATCAAGAGATGCCTTGTAACAGAGTGGATTTGACAAAGAGCTACAAAAGGATGCTAGCTGTACATAAATACAGGAGCGGACCGAAGATGGGCCGAAGTAGAATTAGATGGATGATGACAGAAACCTATAGATGTATCTCGAAGGAATCGCATGACGACAGCTACGCACACAGCGTAGCGCATGTAATAGGCTCAGCCTGTTACATTACCCCCCTCCTTTTTAGCAGCCGCGAGGCGAGCTGCTAGTGCAGGGCTGCGTGCAAATTTTGTGAGATGGTGCGTGCTGGCAGGTGTATCTGCAGTGGTAGGAATAGCTAACTGAGAGCAGGGGCGAGACCGAGACTGAGAGCGGGAGCTGGAGCGGGAACTAGAGCGGGAACTAGAGCGCGGGCAGCTACTAATCCAATGGTCAGCGGCGCCGCAATAAAGACATAGGTTGTTGCTAAGGCGATAGGCACGGCGTTCGTCAGATGAGTCAGAGGAGGATGCAGACAGGCGGCGGGCTGGTTTACGGACCGAGGATACTCGTGCGGACTGAACTTGGATTGGATCAACATCCATAGGATCTAGCTGGCGACTGACTTGTTTGGGTTGCTGGGGTGGCTGAGGGCGGCGGGAACGTCGATCGAGGCTCTGAACAAGCTCAACGTATTCATCGTACGGAATAGTAAATAGAGAGTCGTTTGACTCTTCAAGAGACTGACGGAGAGAAGAGCGAAGACCACGGTGGAGTACTGATATACGGGATGTATCAGGCCAGGTCGAAGCACCAGCTTCGTATGCGAGACGCTCAAATCGTGCAAGATAAGCTATCAGAGACTCCTCGTCACGCTGACGGACTAAGGAGAAACGCTGAATAGCCTCCTGTTGCTCCCTTGGGTTGTGGCAGAGACGCTGAAAGAAGGAAAAGATATCCTCCACATCCCACGTGTTGTTTTCTTCAGCTTGATGGCGGAGGTGTAGGACAGATGCTTGCTGAGGTTGTTCTAGGCGGTCCCATACATAATCAAATGCATCAGCTCCTGAGAGCTGGTCTGATCGAAGCTTGGCGCGGATTGAAGGGAGCCATGTCCGGAGTGTAAGCGGCTTTCCGTCAAAACGAGGTGGATCAGGAAGGCGGGAACGGGACGGAGGAGTGGCGGATCTGAGCTGGAGCTCAAGCTGATGTACGCTGGCGCGCGATGCGTCAAGATCAGATCGGAGTGACTGGATCTCAACACGCTGGTTCTGGACCTCCTGCTGTAGCTGTTGTACGAGCAGGAATAGAGAGGACTGATCTAGGTTCGGGTTTGACATGGTGCCGGAAAAAAATAATTCTAACAAGGTTTCTGGCTGGGCTGGCGGGCAAGTTGGTCAAATCCAAATGTAAGGGGCTAGACCCCAGCGGCTGTATCGATGACGATACACAGATGACTGATCAAGAGATGCCTTGTAACAGAGTGGATTTGACAAAGAGCTACAAAAGGATGCTAGCTGTACATAAATACAGGAGCGGACCGAAGATGGGCCGAAGTAGAATTAGATGGATGATGACAGAAACCTATAGATGTATCTCGAAGGAATCGCATGACGACAGCTACGCACACAGCGTAGCGCATGTAATAGGCTCAGCCTGTTACATTGGGTCGTCCAAGTTGAAGACGATGGACAGTTCGACCTCTTCATCCTCCAGGAGTTCCAAAAGTCCTTCGAGGATTGGACTCAAGATATCATAAGTGCGGTCGACGTGCGGCTCCGGAAAGCAGTCAAGGAATTGCTCCGACACCGAGGGATTTACATCCAGATCAACAGTCGTGACACAGTAATAACGCAACTGTACAACCTCCTCCATCTCTCGTCGTGCCCGATATGGCCTGACGACGAGCTTGAGCTTATGCGACTCGTCGACGGTTTCAAGTGTCGACAGCTCACAAACAGCAACTACAGTTACCCTAACCCTCCGCAGCCACCAACAGGATACCCACAAGCACAGTACTCACCGTCGCCAGCTCAACTCAACGTGACAGCACTCACAAACCTCGCGAAGCTGTACAATAACAACGATAAGTTCAGTGGTGACAAGTATGACGTGCTCAGTCACAAACTGGTCATCTTTCGAGAGCTTTGCGCCAAAGTCGGCATTCAACCTGGCCAAACTGACCGCTACAAGCTAGCCATCTCTACTATGCTTACTGGCAAAGCGTCAACTTACTACTACCAATCTATCGCTCCACTTGACCTTGGATACGAAGACATCATCGCGAAACTGGGCGCCTACTTCCACACTACCGAGAACTACCAGTTGTTCTTGAACGAATGGCGCACCATTATGCTAAAGGACGTCATCGCAAGTAATCCTGACAAGACAATTGCGCAATGCCTTGACTTGCTCATCGACAAGCTCCACAAGCTGTACCAAGCGATGGCTCAGCAGAATGGACTCAGCGAGTCAAGCCTCACCGGACAACTTGTGTCAGCATGCCAGGGTGTCGAAGCCTGCAGCGCAGTCCTGATCCGACCTGCGTCGACCTTTGAAGCAGTCGCTTCAGAGCTCCGCAACGCCGTCGGTAACTGGCAACGCTGTCACCCGCATGCTCGAACGCAGTTCAACTATGACAATGAACAGACAGACGATGACATCTTCTACACAAACCGACGATACAACCGAAACGACGAACCTCGCGACAGACCCCGAGGCTATGGCACCGGTCGCTTCAACCGCGGACCGACGCTGTCACGACCGCGATACCCTCCCCGCCGCTCGCACGATAAAAAGTGCTATGTGTGCGGCAAACAAGGATGCTGGTCAACGCGACATTCACACGAGGAGCGCAATGAGTCGCACCAACGCTTCAAGACTTATGTCCAAAACCACGATCTCGATGACGACTACGACGTGTTCCTCGCCGGATTCGAAGGCATCGAGCTTCATGACGAGGCAGAGGACGACGACGGCAACCGCGTTGATGACCTCGATGCGTACTTCCAACATGAACAATTCAACACCGCTGCTTGCGGAACCATCGACGGGCAAGCGCTCACCATCAACCTCAACGACGCCGCGGCGACCCACGCGATCACTGGGATCGACCCATACGCGTCGGAGACTGCAAAGGAGGCACCCCACATGTTCACCTTCGATCACCGATATGGTGCTCACTGTTTCCAAGGCATCATGCCCGACACCGGCGCGGCCGGAGTCTCCACTGCAGGAAAGACCCAGGTCATGGCACTGCAACGCCTCCAGCCATCGGCCACGATCAATGAGTCCACGGCAGGTCGCCACCGAATTCGATTTGGAGATAACCCAGAGTGTCTCTCACTTGGCGAGGTGAAGGTCAAAACCCCGCTCGGCGTTATACTTTTTGCGGTGATGCCGACCAACACGCCTTTCTTGCTGTGCCTTGCAGACATGGACCGCCACGGGATCTACCTCAACAATGTTGACAACGTGCTTGTACACGAGTCACGGGAGTACCCCATTGTGCGCAAATGGGGACACCCATGGCTCCTACTCGACGACCAAGAGACCGCGACGCACTACCTCACCGAGGTAGAGCTTGCGCAACTCCATCGGCGCTTTGGTCATCCAGCTGCGGGACGACTCTACAAGGTCCTCGCGAGAGCAGGTTATGACGAAGTCGATGCGGCGACCATCGAAAAGATCAACAAGTTCTGTCACCAATGTCAGATTACTGGCAAGGCGCCAGGACGATTTCGGTTTACCCTCCGCGACGATATCAACTTCAACTATCGACTTATCGTCGACGTGATGTACATTAATCAGAGGCCAGTACTTCATGCTATTGACGAAGCAACTGCCTTCCAAGCAGCGCGCTTTCTCACCGACATGAAAGCAAGCACAACATGGGACACACTCCGCGCCATGTGGATCGATATGTACGTTGGTCCGCCTGATGTCATAGCCACCGACGCTGGCAAGAACTTTGCGAGCGAGGAGTTTGTCAACAATGCAAAGACAATGGCCATCGAGGTTGACGAGGTGCCTGTCGAGGCGCATAACTCCATCGGCAAGGTGGAGCGGTACCATGCGGCCATCCGCCGTGCCTTCGAAGTCATCTCCGCCGACATAGACAGCGACACGTCATCTGAACACCTCCTCCAGATGGCTGTGAAAGCCGTCAACGACACTGCTGGTCCAGATGGCCTTGTGCCTACTCTCCTCGTCTTTGGCACCTACCCCCGCCTATCCAAGACATCGCCGCCATCACCATCCATCAGCGCGCGCGCGAAAGCGATAAAGAACGCGATGGCGGAGGTCCGCAAGATCAAAGCAAAACGCCAGGTGAACGACGCACTTGCGACACGCAACGGACCGAACGTCATTGAAACGCTTCAGCTCCCGATCCAGAGCAGCGTAAAGGTTTGGCGCGAGAACCGCGGTTGGACTGGTCCCCATACCCTCATCGCCATGAACGACGACCTAACCGCCGCGATTGTCGACGTCGACGGCAGGCAGGCGACATTTCGAGTCACATCGGTGCAGCCATACCACCGCAACAACTCCACCGTTATCCCGCGCGACGACGACGACAACGACAATTGCGGGGATGCGGACGATGACGAGTTTATCCCAGAGACAGAAGTTCCACCTCCACGAAAGCGCGGTCGCCCCAAAGGCTCCAAAAACAAGCCAAAACCAGCTCCCATCGAGACCAACGACGTCAACCTCACGCAACGCGAGGAGGACGACTTAGTGCTGTCCAGGAAGCTGCGTGCCACTGGCAAGATCACAACCCTAGGCGAACCATTCGAACTATCCACCAAGGCAGAGATTGACGCGCTGATCACTCGCGGAGTGTTCCGCTTCGAGGAGTATGACCCTCAGCGCCATGGTGGCATCCGCGTCTTTAAGTCACGGATTGTCAACGAGGTCAAAGGCAAAACTACCACTAAGCCGTACGAGAAATCGCGCCTCGTTGTTCAGGGTTATGCCGATGATGGAAAACGGATTGTGCTCACACAAAGCCCGACGATCCAGCGCGCCAGTCAGCGCATTATTATCGCGCTTGCACCCTCACTGCTTCAAATGGGCATGACGCTATGGCTTCGAGATATCACGCAGGCGTACACGCAAGCCGATGACCATCTCCAGCGCACG